ACATTATGATATTGCTAAATGGTTTTCCAGAAATATGATAAAAATATATTATGGGTGCTTGGAAATGACATTCATAAATACAAAAACAATCCCTGATTTGGTGGTAATTCATCATATTCAGAATTTCCCCGCTTCCTGAAAACATTCCGCACAAAAAAGATTCTGATTGTTCTAAACCTCGTTTCAATTCTTCTACCCGATAGTTAACGAACCGAATAAAATTGTCCGGGCATTACTTACAATTAAGCGATATACGAGTAAGATATATTAATAATGCCCGGGATTATTAATCGCATTGCTCTTCATATTGGGCATTTTGCATACTACGCGGCCATTATTTATAATGTCCGAATAATCTGCTTGTCTGTGACATAGATACTTAATGATATCGATATCCCGATCACGTAAGTTTCAATTGCGATTGCGACTTGGGTGTAGTCGATTATCGTAATAGACCTTTTAAATAGGATCTATATAATAGCTATTGTTAGGTAAGTAGAATAGAATAGGGATGATATCTTGGGAAAAAAAAATAATCCATCAGGCAGATATTAGAAAAATAAATAATTTAAAGAAAACAACAAACCCGACTGCGTAAAACCGAATTTCAAAAAATACATGAAAAAATTAACTTAATTAAAAACTAAAAAGAAAAAAACAAGCCCAGTAGTTTAGAATTCTGTTAAGTAATACTAAATAGGAAAAAGTTTTATAATCGATACACTCATAAAACAAATCATAAATTCTTATGCAGAACAGGGGGCCAATTCTACTAAATAAATTTTGTTTAAATCGAATCGAAAACGGATCGAAACCGAACGAAACTATAGTTTTTAATGGTTTTTCTATTCTACTAAGTGGCATATGATACAATTCCAGCTAAAATAGAACTGGAATTGTATCGTATGTCACTTTATAGAATATTTCCGTTCAAGTGTAAAAAAAATATCCACTTTTGGAGGAGAATCATCATCAGCCTTGCCAGCCTGCAGACGTAGCCGGGACTGACGGCTTAACGTGCCTTCCAAAGCATGGAGTAATAATTTTTTGGTCACCCATCCCGTGACCGACCCTTGCGAAAGTTGCTTAACAACAACGATCGCGGGCCGCCACGTTAACCCACTACGCCACCGAGCTACTCGGAAGAAGAACAGTAGAAGAAAACCATTAATTCGAATTGATAACTTCCTTCCATATAGTAGGACTCCGCATGACGTACAGACAACTTATCTTTAACGATATATTAAAGTGCCTTTTGTAATCCCTGATGTAGTCAATAGACGTGCCAGGATACTGTCCGTTGGTATCAAAGGATTTACGTTTAGTACCTACCCTCAAAATGTTTCCCCCTTCCCGCCTCTTGGGTGGGAATAAATTTCTCCTATTTTTCGGTATCTGTGTGGGAATAAATTTCGCCGCTTAATTAATCAACATTATTAACACATACGAGACTGCATTTATAATGAAAATGCAAAAGAACCTGAAAGATAGTTCTGGCAATTCTGTTATAACACTCTTTACACAAAAGCGCGTAACTTTTTTAATTACATTAACTGTATCTCATTCTTTTCTTCACGTGTAATCACGAAATATAATAATGGTAATAAAATAAGGTGCTTATAATGCCTTTTTATTTATAAAATTAAAAATGCAATTTGAAAAGACATTTAAATTTACTGCCCATTGCACTAACGTCCATTAAAATTGACATTAGTTTATGGTGACATTACCCATACAAATTTTTAAATTTGGAACATTAATTAGAACTTAAGTCGTCATTAAACCTAAATGAACGTTTATGGAACTCGGCGATAATCTAGTTTGAGTTTATCTAATTTAAAAACTAAAAGGGGCTCGGTTGGTTTGGACACGTGGAAATAACAAATAAGATATAATATTTTATACAAAGGAAAGTTCAATCAAAAGCGAATCCAGTTTTCAAGTACAGGTTGTATAACGTCGAGGTCCAGTTGAAACATTGTGTCTTATCTTGGGCTTAATTTAAATGTCGAAACTGACTACAACATAAAAGGAATACAAAAAAATATATTGCAATTATATTTTATTCAATTAAGTTATTTTAATTTTACTCGTAGTTGCATGCTTACTCTCGAACGCAATCGCGACCAATCAACATCGCATTTGTGCGGTTCCGTACTCTTGATCGGTTCACTAGCATACTCTGGCGCCAGTGTACCCAATCAAGAGTACCAAACAGCACAATTACAATGTTGTTCAGTCGCGATTGCGTTAGCACACTATTTGAATACATTTTTCTATCAAAAATGAATAAACTTTATGCAAGCGCCGTACCGTTATACTCCCAAAGTTTTATACAATAGCTGCAGTCCTCGAACTTTTAGAAAGTTCATTGAAGTTTGATAGATTCTTATGGCTAGAACTTTTATCAACAATATACTACATTACTGAATAAATATTAGACAACACCACGGACATTGTTGAATGCCTATTATTATTATCTGAAATTACGAAATTAATACAACACCCAGACCCTAGGGCTAGGATCCGCTTGGCCCCGGTGGCTCTACCACGGACTCTAAGTTGTCATGTCGACATAGGATACAAATCTGACAAACTGATTGCTCCACTTAATTTTAAACATGTTTTGAGGGTAGTTTAAAATTAACTGGACTTTGACATATTGTGTTATTAATATCGTATGGGACTTTTTCTGTTATGTGCTTTTACGATTACGATACGATTTAGTGATATGACTCCGAGATCGAAGATAAGTCCCGTCCAATACACCTCCCTGTTTCTCGCCAGGTGGCAGGACAGAGCATAAAGTATTTTCCTGGAAAAAAGTCTTACAAACGTTTTGCTTCCATTCTTTCCTTTTCTTATAGTAATGGTGGACTTAATGTGTGTATTATTATAAAGAGGTAAAGTATAACTTTATTTGTTTGTTTGTAAGAAGTAATCATCGGAAACAATGAACCAATCATGTAACATCCTTCGGTCGCGAAGCAACATTATACGCGAGTGAGATAGCCTATAATTTACGTGGGCGAAGTCGCGGGAAATAGCTAGTTAAAGACAAATTAGGCAAGATAATATATATAATTTGTAAGTACTTTGAAAATACAAAAAACACAATAATGACAAAAATATTAAAAAATCAAATTAAACACTAAAGAGGCTGGCAAAGCTGTCGTGAACAATGCAGATTTAAGTTTGTAAGTAACCATTCATGTCATTGTAATAGGACTATTATGCTAAGTTCCTTTACTAAAGAAGTTTAGTTCTCTAAATTTTCTTTCAAATTGCATTAAAAGTTAAATATTAGTTCGCCAGCAAAAGCTTTCTTACTAAAAGCATTGTCGAACAAAAGACAAATATTAGATTACCGACAACTGTTGGAATTTAAAGCTACAGCTTTAAAACGAGGGACATGATTATTTTGGAAGTGTTCTCTCAATTTATGCCTGATTTTCATGAAAAACAGATATAAATGACTTGGTAAAAAATATCTGTTTAGTTCCTCAGTCAGTTAATAGAAAAATATTAGATACGTATTTTTTTAATACGTTGAGGGCTGAGGGTTCGCTGCGACATTTCAACTCATATCATCGCAATTTATTGATTACGCAAAAAATAATAAATACGCATTTAATATTACTTAAAAAAATCTACCTAACGGACAGAGAAACAACAATTAGTCATCATTGTTATTGATAAAAAATATACACTGAACATTATTTTACAATTATAATTCCTGATTTAACTAAGCAAACCGGTTCTAATTATTAATCTACATGCTATTATATAAGGCACTCAGCACATGGCGCATTTTAAACGCGTAAATAACGCGCGTTTTCTGCGCCGTAGATGCTGAATTTTGCATACAAAGGTACATAGCGCGTACAAAGGGTCAGAAGAGGAGCGCGCGCTCACGCCATCGCACCGCTCTTTATTGTGTGCTGCATGTTGGTCTCGCTGCATCTGGTCGTATATGCACCTAGATACAAGTTTCATGATCACCTCGTGATCTTGAACCATGCGTTCATGATAACCTAAGCAATTACAAGTTTGCGTTTAAATCTCATTTGAAGCCTGTGTACACGCGTCATCTGCGCGTTTAAAATACGCCATGTACCTTAACCTTAACCTTAACTTTGTCACAATCAAATTAAGGATAAGGGACAATTTACCGTAGCTCTACTATAAGTTTTTGATTCTCTATTTCACGCAGAGGACCGCGTCCTCTGTCTCTGTCGCTCAATCTATCTCATTGACTGGTCTATTGTTCCGTCCCAGTTACTCTATGTCTTTATGAGGAGACTAATGATGATAAATGATTCGATTGGTTGGCCCCAGAGACCGCATTAATCATAATTCGTTTTTATACATTCATTCTCGGTTCATTTATCCATATGAATTAGGTAGCTAAATGATCAATTACCTTTGATATTTTAATGTACAGTCGACAGCATATCACGTTACATAAAACCGACTTTCTCTAGAACCTTAAAGCTTTAAGACTAAATACTTTAATACTCATTTGAACACAACTAAAGAGGAAACTCGACAGGGCAATTATATCAATTCAAAATTATCTAAATCAATAGTATTAGGAAAACAAAAGAAGGCTCAAAGTCATCGAGCGGTAAATGAAGAGAGCAATGCTTGGTATTTCTCTACTGTAGTCGAATGGCCAATGTTACTAATATTGCTGGAAGGATGGCGATGGAAGGATCAACTGAAATGGTGGGAGACAGCTCGAAGCACCAATTGCCATTGGGGAGAAAAGGTTCTGAAATGGTGACCCTGCACCAGCTCATTGTGTAGACTCGCACAAGGTGGACCGATGATCTTATAAACGCTGCGGGAAGCCGCTGGATGCGCGGAGCTCAGGATAGATTGTCGTGGAGATTTATGGGGAGACCTATGCTCAATAATGATGATGACATATGGTGATAAACCAGCAACACCGGTTCTCTTACAAACTGCCAATTCCCCGTATATTAAAATTTTCTTCTAAGTTCTTTGTTTCTTGCTCTATAGGCACAAAGGTGTGGGGACAGCATACGCGAGCCAGAGGCAGAAGAAACCCGTCCTCCTGACGGCGAGAGGTTACCAGGCGACGGAGCCAGCTGTTCCGCCCCCGAAGATCAGGTACAGATCAAAGTAAAATTCATTTGTTCAATTTAGTCTGTAAACAAGCATTTGCAAAAATCTACGCCGTCGCTTCGTTTATCTACTTAGCTTCTCTCTAATCTAATATGCCGAAAACTTCGAAAAAATACTGGCACATAAGAACCGGAGAACAACTGGTACAGCAGAGTGATTCCGTAAAAATCCGAACCCAAATTCGAATTCAATCAGGTGTCCAAATTCACTTCGAAAGCGAATCCGCTTAAGTTATATCAGTGTAGAAATTCTATTGATACCATTTTTTTACAATACAATAAAATACTTATGAATTAATCAATCTTGTTTTGTATTATTGTACAAAAGTGGTATCAATAAAATTTCTACACTGATATAAAGTAAAGCGGATGTTGCTTTAGAAATGTATTCGGACACCTGGGTGAATTTGAATTCGGGTTAAATTTTTCATGATTTAGAAATGTAGTACGTACATTAAACATCACAATTTTAAAATTTTCTTATAAAATATCGTATCAGAAAGTTCTGTGTTCACTCATCATTATTCTAAATTAAGGCCGAGATAGCACTGCGTGAAAACGCAAAGCCGCTTTACTTACTTCTCGTACGAATAAACATAATATCTGAAGGCCTATTTCTGTGAAAACGACATTTTTTTCTATTTTCGAAATGCCAACACGACTCCTAACAAACGTATTTTTGGATTATTTATGATGGAACAGAGTTAGAACCTGACACTTCCTCTGATACACAGATAATCTTCACGAATACGATTTTAGCAAAATCATATGAACGATATTTTCTTAATTTGCAATAGAGGAATAATAGAATAAGCACTCATGTGTCTTGTTTCGTACGAGTAATAATCAACATGCTTGCACTTATATAGCAGAAGTTTAGAACAAAGCACAACATTTTTACCGTTTAAGTCCAACAAAGTCTACATGTGGTCTAAACCTGAGTCATTCATAAGTGTATTTTGTTTTTCTCCGTTGTTTCAGCACCGTGTTAGCGACGATGACTCTTCAAATTGTTTACACACGTTCGAGGCGGACAAAGACACAGGTATACTAGCTATACTATATCTATAGCTTTACTCAATTTCACATAATACTACGATCATTGACAGTAAAATCCACAGTGCAGTGTGGCGACACGACATTCACAAAAACAATGTTGATCGAGGTGTTTCAAATAATCCTCACCATTGTTTGTCGGCCCTGTTCATAATTTCGGAACAATGTCTTTATTGTGTAATCTATAACCATAGCTACTTTCCGATCAACCATTAACAATGACAATATAATCTTTCATTATACTTCCACCAAGTCTATATCAGTTCTGTTACGATATAATATAATATTAAAGTGACTAGCTTATCGATATTTATTCGATTTTATAAAGCAATCACAGTAAAGAAATTATAGGTTTACTGCAATAATATTAGATATTCTGCAGAAATAGACGATAATACTACTTATTACTGAGCTACTATGATATTTTTTAACTAACCTCTTCCAGGAGTTGAAATTATAATCGTTAAGGTTAAAAAAAGAATTTAAACAATACCTATTTATGTTTCTTCAAAAGACTACACAACTACATTTTCTGATATATCTTCATTGTTCACTTTGATAAACTACCATTCTTTAATACTTATTCATGCTTTAATACTTATTGACGATAAATAAGGTGTAATATTATTATGTGCCAGGACTTCGTGTAATGAATAAGTTAAGTATACTGACCAACTTTTACTATGGGAGCAACACTGAATTCACGAAAAATAATCAGCTCTTTAATACTGTTGGCGATTGTACGTATTACAATTTTGTATGAAATAGCTGATTATTTTTTCTTGAATTCAGTGTCGCTGCCATAGTAATAGTTGGTCAGTATATTTAACTCATCCATCTCATGAAGTCCTGGCATATAATAATGTTCATGCCATATTATTCTATAGCAAGACGAAAAATATGGATACTGTCAATAATTTCAAGTCGTAGTATACTACGCACATTTGAATTGTTGTACTACAGTCGAAAAACTGTGTTAGCTAGCTGCATTTGAAACTCAAAACCAGCTAAACCAATATTCATTAGTTTTTTTTCATTTAATTTAGTGTAGTAGTTGGTGAGTATAGGACCTTAATGCAACAGAAATTCATCGATTTTTATTTTTTGCAGTATCATCAGAAAATATATTACGTACGGGACGATACTACAAGGGAATATATTGGCCCTCACTTGCTAATAGTTTTAAGGTAAAGCTATTAGTTTAATTACAACTTGTTTACTTATTATATTATCTGACAGCTGCTTTGCTATTTTTTAACGAAAGCAAAGAGGTTGAATGCATAAAAGCTTTGTCACCTTTTGAGATGGGTTATATTTGATAGAGTGAAATTAAATGAAAATATCTTTATTCAAGTAGGTTTATAACAAGCACTTTCGAATCGTCCAATAAAAATTTTAGCTGAAAAGAAGAAAAAGCGAAAGAAACTTACCAGCTCTTTATCATAAATAATGACACTTACATGAATCATGTCATTACCAAAATAATATGTACTAGCTTTCGCCAGTGGCTTCGCCCGCGTCGACCCTAGGGAGATGTTTAGTGAGATAAAAAGTATCCTTTTATCTAAATCAGCTAATACTCTATCTGTATACCAATTTTCATCAAAATCCGTTCAGTAGTTTCGGCATGATTGACGGACAAACATTCAAACATCCAAACAAAGAAACTTTCACATTTATAATATTAGTAGGATTATCACAATACTAAATACAACTCTCAAAGTCTGTAGGTCATAATTTGTAGGTACATATAATTAGTCGTTTAAGAACAAAGCGAAGGCTATTTATTCCATGCATTGCGATCCTTAAAATAATCATCAACTTTATAATAGTATTTACTCATAAGTATATTATTTACATGAATTTTGAATTTATTTATGGGTAGGTCAATTAAATTTTGTGGAACTCTATTGAACATATCAATGCATTTACCCAGAAATGATGCTCTGGTTTTCTGAAGTCTGAAGCTTGGAACGGCAAGTTTATTTTTATTTCCCGTGTTAAGATTATGAACACTACTTTTTTTTGTGAAGGAATCGTAATGTTTTCTTGCGTACATAATATTTTCATAGATGTATTGGAGAGGCAACAGTCAAAATATTTTTTTTTTAAATTAAAGTCTCTATTGCTACAACAGGCCGTACTCGACGTCGATGCTGATTTCATTACAGAATAGCACTGGTGATATTTCTTATTTCAGGATGAAGCAGTCGAAAGCTCATACCAAAGGTACTCGCGGAGACAGCGACAAAAGTCGCTAATAATGGTGAACGTAGTTGATTTAGCACTTAAAGTAAGTTAAGTTAGAGTTTTATTTAAAACAACATTCAAAATAACCAAATAATGGAATCCAAATAATAATTTTACCAAGAAAATATCATATTCGGACTGACACGACAAAATGTTCGCTGAAATGAATGAAATTACTTTAGTTAATATTATTTTAGAATCAGACATTTTTACTCTAAGGGCCAGAAGGGCCATGGCTGGACAGTTCTTTGGAATTTTTTCTTATATTTTCCGATGACAATGACATTTTGAAAATTATATGTATTCTCAAACCACTTAAACTAAGCCACTTGACTTTATTTAACTAGAGCTTATTTGGACGTTATTACTTTGTACAAAACGGGTGATAACTGGGTAAAAAAAAGGAAATTCTATTTAGTCCCATAAATTGCTCAGATTTCAAGATGATCAGCTAAAGTCCCCGAATTATGTTACATCAGAGACAACAAGGGTACCATGACATCCAAACCTGAGACAATATAGAAAAATCATTTACTACATAAATCCGACCTGGAATCAAACCCGGGGCCTCAGTGAAGGAATTATACTTTCCGTGTGGTCTACTCAGCGGTTTCAAGGTGTCGGCAACTCTGAGTTCGATTCCCGCTCTGTCAATGTAGAAAATTTACTTTTCTATTTTGTCCCTTGGCTGGGTGTTGTGTTTCTTTACAGTGTAACTTATTTATCTCTAATAATTATTTATTTATTACCTACCTTTGTAACTATTTGTTTTTCTTTTCAGATATGTTTAGCTATCATATACATACCGAGTAATAGAAATACAGGTAAATTTCTAAAACGTTTTCTATAATATCACTTATATATTTACGAATTGTTCTTATTTCTTGAAATAAACTCTCAATTTAAGGATTGATGTACAACATTATTTTATATCCTTTTTATTATTGATAGAATTTCATTCTGATCCAATACCAATATCATATTTACTGTTTCCCGATATTTCGACTGCGTAAATTATAGGTATCTTACGAGTATATCCGCCTATCTTACCAGCTTATAAAGAGTATGCTGTAGATGATTTTTTTTTTTTAAATATCATTATAGTAGTTTCGGAGGCTATTCAATGCAAACAATCGAATCTTTCCTTTTTATTACCCGACTATGTTGAACCAAAACCAAACCAAAAAGGATGGTTATGATTCTGGCCCGTATGTATGTTCATCTGAAACTTGAATCTACAACAAACTAAATTAGCGGGTTTTAGTTTTTGAATATATTATTTTTAAAATATGTGCAACACTATGTATAAAAATAAACTATGATTTTAGATACAGATGGAATAGTCGACGCGTACAAAATCGCGTGGACAGTGGCGTTCTGTTGGTTAAACGTAGGTGTCTGCCTGTTGGGATGGTGGCGTTGCTTCGCCAACAACTACCTACATTGGGCAGCCGCCTCCACTTGGATACTGCTCATTGCCCAAGGTGAGTACCATTTTGAACTTAACACGTCAAGACTTTTTGATCAGTAACCTTTCTTTTGATATTATTGCAAAATAAAATAATATTAATAAAAAAAATATTTTTAACTTGCCAAGCCTTCTGGGTACCTTACCTGTAGGCAATGATCTGGGAGACATTTTTTATTTAGTATAGTTATTAATTTAAGACATAGTTTAGATAAGTAGTTTTAATTTATTAGACCTTTTATTCAAACAACGTAGGTATATATTTAAATTTTTATTTTATAGATATACATGAAACAATTTTTGATTTTAAATTATTAAATCAAATACAAATCAATGAATAAATATTATACAAATAATATTATTGCAAAATAATATAAAATTTATAAAGTTTTCTTATTTTATTTATATATTTATGTTTTAATAAAATTATATAACTCTATATCTTACTAAATTTTGACCTCACAAGTTTAATATATTCTCTATTTTCTTTGATGCCAAAATAAATGAAAAAAAAAATCTCTAATCCAGATTTTAAGCGTGCATAACTTATCTAAATCAATATTTTATTTTTGTAATATTTTACTTATTCTAGCAAAAAGTATGTATTGACATATTATCTATCGAATGCAGGACTTGCTGGTGAAGGTATCGGATTCCAGTCCCCAGAAAGTCAAGTGTGGTACATGCTGTTCATAGTATTCGTGCCGTACGCCATGCTACCGCTATCTCTCGGTTGGTGCATCGTCATCGGACTTCTGTCTTCCATGTCACATGTACTGGCGACGGCTATAGAGATAAATGAGCTCATTAATCTAAACAAAATTTCGGTAAGTTCAGTCTGTTATTCAAACTACGAATATTAAAACCGTTTTTAAATATATTTTTTTTATCGTAGCCAAAATGCTCTTTAAACGCACATTGGCGTGACGTGCCATGGACTCTCCAATCCACCAAAACTACTGCCTACTATCAGATGAGGGTCCACAATGTGTATATATAACGTGGTATAATAGCCATCACCCTCTAAATTGATCTTTACACTGTAGATACATCTGTAATAATTCAGTTTATTGATTTTCTTGTAGTCACGTTCATGTGGCAGGCGTCTTCTAGTCAGTAACGCTCTGTTGTACTCGGCTGTAAACTTCGCCGGGATGTACGCAAAATATCTCGCCGATTGGGGACAGCGTAAGGCGTTCCTGGAAACACACCGCTCTATGGTCACAAGACAACGGACGAAACGAGAGAGCGATCGGCAATGGAAACTATTTCAGAGTGGTGAGTGAAGACTGGTGAAGACCAATATAATCATCACAATAAATCACCGGGTTATTAATGTCTTTAATACAGGGGTTGCATTCCTACAGATGAAATCGAATATAGAGAACTGGCCAATCCATAAATAGGGTTGCCGACTTTTATTAGAAGATATACCTAACGAATATTTCATTTCAAAGGTGTTAAAAGAGTAATGATTGCTATAAAGAGTAACATTTATTTAACATTAAAAAAAGATTTTTTTATTCTATTTGATCGATTTTGCATTCAAAAGCTATATTAAAAAAATTCTTAACCAAAAATAGATATCCATCATATCCGCCACCTGTAATAGTTTTATAAACATTGTGTAAGAAAGAGTATTTTAGCGCCCTCTATTAGTGTTATAGATTATACAGTATGACTACAAGATATAGAGTACAATAATCTATTTTAGAGTACGATTGGCAACCCTAACAATAACCCACCACGCGGGCCCATTGCGGTTTAACGTGTATTAACATTAACGACTACAGATACAGTGCGTGCGTTCCAAAGTAATGAATTTTTGATCCCCCATAAATATCCAGATACGAAACTTGCATAACCTCCGCATCGCAGATCCAACGCTCTAACCAATGCTCCATCGAGCTCCACCTGAAGAAGTATACCATAGTAGATTTAATGCCATGAAAACTTTCTGTTATTTAGATGAGAAGATTTGACTAGGATTAATATTTTTCAAACTTCTTATTAAAAAAAAACTCTGATACTTTTCAGTTATCCCGGACTTCCTAGCAAAAGAAATATACAATCATGCGTCAAAAGTAAAAGGAGAATTTCAGGATCAACAATTCAACAACCTCTACATACAGAGGCATCAAAATGTATCCATACTCTACGCGGATATAAAAGGATTCACAGGTACATTGTTATATTTTCCCTTCTCTTGATCAATCAGTCCGCTAACGCTGGGGTGTCAATATTCCATAGTAAAGCGGAGTTCTATTGGTGATTCTTACTGTAAGGTTTTTTTATTTTGTGCCGGAATTAACATAGAATTAAAAAAAAACCATTGTCTTGAAAAAAACGTTAATAAATAGCGTTACATACTTTTTACTGTTTCATGATAAATAAAGACGTTTTGTTTTTGAAAACGGAGCTAAAAGGTCATTTATCAAAAATAGAAAAAAGGTATGAGTGCTAATATTTATTTAGAATTTTCTCAAATCACGCACGTAATTGATGACCATAAATTTTAATATTGTATTAAAATGGATTACTTTATATTTTCGCAACCAAAGTGTATAAGTAGATAGCTCTAAAAACCCATTATAATATATAGATTATTTTAGCCCCATGATGTAGTAATATACTTATTGGTGTTATCTAATACATTCTACATCACATTAAATTCTACTATTTACTATTTCAGAGCTATCAAGCAAATGTAGCGCCCAAGAATTGGTGAAATTATTGAACGAACTGTTTGCACGATTCGATCGTTTAGCTTCGGTAAGATTTCCTTCCCTTCAATTAAATAAATTAAGAATGGATATATTTAATAAATTTTACGTCACAAAATATAATGTGTAAAGTATAAAACCTTAGGCTGGCATGCTTCATTGGTTTGATGTGGTAAGGATGAAATAAAAACGAAAGTGAAAGGATTTAAAAGGTAAGGGTGGTTAAAAATACCTATATCGATCAAACCAAACAGGACTATAATACTATTTCTTTGATTGTATTTGAATAACGATTGAACAAACCCAAATTAAAATTAGATCATTTTTAGTTGAGTTTCTAAACTTCGACCACACCATTCCCTGGATTGGTAGATAGATAAGTACTGCAGAATAGGCACCTTCGTGTGTCAATGGATGAATATGAATGAATAGTAATGTGTTTCAAGGAAGGGAAAGAGATATGTCAGTTATTTCAGCTTATCCACAAGGGATCTGGCGTGAAGATGTGGAATTGTAATAATCATTACTTTCATTGTCAATATTTGTTTCGTCGTATGGCGTGTCTGTCGTCCATTAATAGTGTCCAACAATTAATTACAACGTAACGAAATAAACTTTAGTATTAATCATGCAGTATGACGTCACAAATGAATAAGGCTTCAGAAGAATTCAAAGCCATTAAAATGGCCCCGATTCAATGTCCTTATAAATTACTTTACGCTCGTAAATTTTAGTCTATGTCACCCGCATATACGTAGCTTCCCATTTATATAAGCATTTTAATCATCGGATTAGTATTTCTAAGATTCCTACAAAAAAACAAAGTTAGAACCTTGACCTCTTTATATTTATAATATTACTAGCTTTTGCCCGCGACTTCGTCCGCATGATATAGTTACTTTGGGCAAATTATTTTCCAAAAACGCTGTTGTTTTTTGAGCTGATAATGAAATTACCTTGATGTTTAAGTTCGAAGATAGTACAACAAATGTCCAATATGTTTCAGCACTTTATCTTTGAAACTTTAGAGATATTAATCCAATTCAACGCAATTTGAAATAAAGATGAAAAAAAAACAGTTCTGAAGTTTACACAAAACTTAATCGAGAAGATTCTTTTAAAGAAACGTTACCGCAGATTACTTTAGAATAAACGCCATCTAGAACACAGTGCCATCTATTGGGTGTATTTGCAACCTAGATGTCAAACGATATTGAAGAATTTTATCTATGAATCACATTACACCGCCATCTATGAGAACTTCATAAAACTAAACAGTAAATAAACACTTGCTTATGAAACAATTAATTAGTACATTTTATTCGTTTACATTCACGACATAAGCGAATAATTGAGATGATAATCCTATCCTATCCAGTAAGTTAGACCAAAATACGGGTACATGTGAAATTTGATTGAAATCGGTTCAGTAGTTTTAGAGTTTATTGGCAACATACATCGTGACACAAAATTTTTATATATAACATGACGTCACAAAATGAGTGAGGCTTCAAAAATTTTACATCTTGATGGCTGGAGAGGGCACCTCTCCTAATGTAAACTTATTATATTAGATTTACAGAAGTATAATATAAGTATTTCTTTGATTATATGTGACTACCTAACAGAGGTAAGACACACCCAAGTTAAACCTTGTTTTCAAGTTTAATTTAGTCTGGTTTTGTTTAGTCTAGTTTAAAATTGTTAAACAGAATGCACCATTATTGTCATTTACAACAAAACTGATTGTATAATTTAGATGTTATCCGATGAGCTGCTGTGTGTAGTACCTATTGCATTTGAAGATAAATATTTACAAACTATACAAAATTTTACAGGAAAACAATTGCTTGAGAATAAAGCTTCTCGGCGATTGTTACTTCTGTGTTAGCGGTCTACCTGAGTCTCGTGACGACCACGCTCACTGCTGCGTCAACATGGGCCTGCACATGATACGCGCCATCAGGGACGTACGGTACAACGCACAGGTATAATTGATTTAAGCGATTGTGGCCTTTAATGAACAATTTTTTTCACAATATACTAGACTGTGATGTCAAAGTCTACCGAGACGTAAACGTTACACGATATAGTGACATGGACAGGCAGCGTCCTATGCCAACTCTTCCAAATCAAGCGATTATTATTAATTTCAAACGACCTCTTGATTTCACTGTGTACCTGCAAAATTTCCTATTTACATTACAAAATCTAAAAACTCCAGATGCATTTTCCGATGCAAGACATTTAAGCGTGGAAGGTTTTAATAGATTTTTAAAAAGTCATCAAAGTTTGCTTACTTCCTAAAAAGTTATTTGCTTTACTAATACTCGTAGAAGACAGAAAGCTACCTATTTAATTCAAAAAGTTCCTTAAAAATATTCAGGTCATCCAAAGTTTTAGATGTAAATATACTGCATTAATGGGATATGTTTGTTTACTAACGGTTATTATGTTAAGGTGGACTTGGACATGCGCATCGGTATACACAGTGGTACAGTGCTGTGCGGCGTGCTGGGACTGCTCAAGTGGCAGTTCGACCTCTGGTCGCATGACGTCACAGTAGCCAACCACATGGAGAGCGGAGGACTACCCGGGTAAATTAAACAGTACAAGTTTTACATAACAATAAAACTTGTATTATAGAGCAGAGACGATGCACAGCATCTGTGAGAGAGAGTGCGTCGGATTCCGGTCTAGCTACTTCCGTTATTTATACTTACTTCCACTATGGTTGTCATAATAACTTCCTTTAAATGAATAATTGGATTAACTTACTTCCGGTTGGCGCCATTTTTAGTCACCTTAGGAGTTTCTGGTGCACTGAGTTCTCATAGAGTCAAGTTTCGTACTAGCAATATCATAAGCAGAAATTCACACACACTCTCCCTCACAGATGCTGTGCATCGTGACATGCCGATAATAACATCATTATATTAAAATGGTCATTTATTTTCCCTGACCCAATACGTTTATTTGGATTTGTATTCTTATTTATCTTCGTCAAAATGAAGTGAAATACGTTCTTAAAAAAATCTTTTTAAATTTCCAAAATAAAAAAAGCAATTTTCTGACCGCTGTAACTGCATTAAATGGTTTGCTGACACAAATTTACTAAGGTTGTGATTTCTGCAATCGAAATATTTCGACAATCTCTACTCTCACATATTTAATTATTAGTGATAGTCTATTTATCTTTCCTTTGACGTTTTTCTTCTTAGCACATTCACGCTCAGGCCTTTTGGTTACATAAAAACCACATGTTCACGCAGCCCCTACCAAGATAGTCGACTAATGAGTCCAACGATAAATCAAAATGTTTTGTAATATTTGTGAGTACAGTCGCGTCCACATATCGTCGGCGACGCTGGCGTGCTTGAACGGCGCGTTCGAGGTGGAGCCCGGGGAGGGCGGCGCCCGCAGCGCGTACCTCCGCGAGCACAACCTGCACACCTACCTCATACGCAGCACCGAGCTGCCGCGCACCACCAGGCATAGGAAACACGGGTAACTAAACTATAACTACTCCTTTCTAACGCTATCATCATTCATCGCGTCATTTTCGTTAATGATCTTATAAGTCTTTTATCTGATTTCCGTAATGTAGCTGTGGTTGCGTATGCAGATGATATAAATGCCATAATAACTGCCCCGAACTTGGAAGACCTTTCCACCAATATTAATAACGCGCTTCCGGTTTTTAGTAAATGGTTCTCTTGTAATAATCTCTTACTCAATACTAAAAAGACCAATCTTGTTTTGTTTAAGCCCACTACTAAAAACAAGATACTATCAATGCTGAATGTAATGGTCAGTTGGTAGAGGCAACTTCTTGCATAAAATTCTTGGGTATATATATTGATGAATGTCTTAACTGGAAACAAGAGATTATTGCAATGGAGGATTATATAAGCTCTGCCTGTTATGCGTTGAGAAGTTTGAGAGACTTGATTGATGTGGGCCAATTGAAGTCTGTATATTATGCTCTCGTTGAGTCGAAATTGAGGTATAGCGTAAAGTTTTGGGGGAACAGCTATTCTTATAATATGAAAAATGCATTTGTACTGCAGAAAAGGGCAATACGAACTATGGTGCGCATACCGCCATGGGAGTCTTGTAGGAAACATTTTAGAGACCTTAGTATACTTACTCTCCCTAGTCTTTATATATTGGTTGTCGTAATGGATGTTTTGAAGCATAATTATAAATACGAAACGGCAACATCTAGGGAGATGAGATTATGTAGTAGAAGAAAAGACATACAAATTTCGCTTCACCCAAAATTAAATATTGTAAAACATTGTAGTCGATATCAGGCAGTCAAGCTTTTTAACGCCCTGCCGACGGAGTTAAAAGCTATCGAAAGTCCTAATAAATTTAAAACTAAATTGAGGCAACTTCTGTTAGACGGTTTTTTCTATACGCTGGAGGAGTTCTATAGTGGTCAGTGCATCTTACCCAACGGATAATTAATAAAAACTACCATAATATTTAAGTGTCTGCATGATTTTTATGTAATTTTGTTTTGATTTGTTCTTGTACCATTCAAATACGATTGTAAAAAATTGTTAATGCTGTAATGCTGTATGAATTATAATAATAATAATAACAATAATAATATCTATAACCCCCCCCCCCCCCCTTTCACTGTCTTCGCTTTTCTAACTCATTTTACTTTATAAACAACAATTCTAGTTTACTGGCCATTCAGATAGCACAGAAAAAAAGCTCATATATTAGCTCGAAAAATAACAGCGTTTTTGGAAAATATATGCTGCCCAAAACACTATACCACGCGGACGAAGTCGCAGGCAAAAGTATTCTAATAAATGTAAACACAACAAACTTAATAAATGTTTATCGCACTTAAAAAACTTTAGTCATGTAACCTATGTAGGTAGGTACTTACTTGTTGCAAAATTATGTTGCCTTTAATATATGCATAAAATTAAATAAACTTAAAATATAAACTTGTTCGTGAATTCGCAGAAGCCAGCAGTCACAGATACAAAATTGCGAGATCAACCGACGCCCGAGTAGCATCATAGAAGATGAAATGACGACAGACTGGACACCAGAAATGCCTTTTCAACACGTATGACATCTCATTGACTGATTTATTAAAATTAAGTCAATTGGTAGTTTCTAAAAATTTGCACGATTCTTACGCCTTGACGTGGTTTCTTATTTGGAACTAAGGAAAACATCGGCGCCTTCACTAACTCAAATCTCTAACGGATAACATTTTCTATGCATCTTTTGCCACGTACAACACACTCACTTAGTATTTACTTTAAATGGAACATGTTTGTTGACACGTTCTTTTTCTTTTTCTAAGCGACAGCTTCTCAAAATAAGCCTCACTAACCCTTAGGGACTGTAAGATTTACCATGTGTCAATTAGCTATCATGTTTTTCAAGATCGATGTATTTCTAACTAACTGGTGTTGGTCACCTTGTTACTCCTTAGATAATGTATTATTAAGAATTTGTATTTTTAAATTATATTAAAAATACCTAATATTCAGTTTGTTATCGTCTTCGAAATTGATCATTCCATTCTAACGAAACCGTATTGAGAAAATCAATGGTACAGTAATTTACCGAATTCCATCCATCTGTCGAGATAGATTATTTAAAGTGCGATCTTTTTGTGTGATTTTTTGGACTGCAAAGATCTATGCGTCAACGATAGGCAAATAGCAACTGTTTAGTTCAATATCTAGACGGGTTTGTTATGGGTGACCAATCACCATAATCTTAATTAAACTATTAATATCACTCGTTAATTGAAATGTTTTGATATACATAAAACGTTCCCACATTTATCATGGGAACTAATGTATTTTTAAGCTAATTGACAATCAATATTATATCGACAGAAGCTGTAATTACTACTTAATTCTTAAAGTTAAACAATAAATTCCTGGTACGATCCCACGATTCCATTTAACATAAACATTAAAGCCATGCTTATAAAAATGAGGAACACAGGCCACCCAGGAGCATATTGTATCCAACCGCGGTTGGATCTGTTCATTAGGTTAAGTTTATTTAATAGTTTTCAGTATTAAATTATAAAAATAAAAATATGTTTTTAATACTTTCCGAGACCGAAACTTGACTGGTTAGACTGATAGTTGTTGTTTGGACACAGTACTTCACTAGCGGCGCGGCGGGCGTAGTCCGCGCCATGAGACATACTGACGACCTGAACGAGTGCGACCAGCAGGACGTGCCGCTCTCCGATGTCGAGGTGATTGACCTATCTTAATACTGCTACATTGACATTTCAATAGGCGCTCGATGGCGTATTTGTTACCGTGCCCGGTCTGCGACACAGTTGCGAAGTGACTTTTGCAAAGGCTGCATCTGCAGTCTTAACGCCCACCAAATCGCACTGGACTCGCGTGACCCCATTCTCACTATAAGACTCGGTTCCATCCATAGGGAAGACTAGTGGAAAGGTTAACAAGCTGGCGATCAGGAATTACATACAAGTCGTATTTCAGGAGGACGACATAATAAACCACTCGATAGAGGTGAGCAGCAACCGTCGCATGCGTATCGACAATATGGCGGCGTGGTCGCTCCACTTCCGGCGCGGCTCTCTCGAGCAGCAGTTCGCGCAACTCGACGAGAAGACCTTCAAGTCCAACGTCATGTGCTGCCTCGTACTCTGGCTCTTCATCAGCTGCGTCCAGAGCATCATGCACTTTAAGTAAGTACATTACACAGACGTAGATGAAAAAGAGGTTCATGCCACTCGACCAGATCACGTTCAAATCTACAGTAAACAACCATTTATTAGGTTAGGTAAGAACTGCTGATTTTCAGTCTTATCCTCAACTCCGTTGTACACTCCAACCCATAACACAAAGTTAAGAACAGAATATAATAATGGATTATTACACAAGGGATACAATAATATATTATGCCTATATGAAAAAGGTTTATAAAGGCAGACATTAAATGGAAACCAGGTAGATATAATGTTTTTTAGCATTATATTCTTCTGACTCGTTATACATATCGACATAAACCTATTCCATTTTTGAATAAATAACTTATTAGTATTGTTGTTGGCAGCTGCACGCCCCTGATGATAATACTGTCCGTCATGACGCTGTTACTGTTCATATCTTTCGTGGTGGTGATGGCGGAGGAGTTTCCTTGGTTGTGCCCACGACTCGCTAAATTCTCAGCGAAACTGAACAGCTCAAGACTTCACAGAGACATTCACATATGCATGTTCATAACTGTGATGTCAATATCGAGGTATGTGAAGTAGGAAAAGTTAATATTGTCGACAATCTTCGGAATATTTAACTACTTAAAAATGGAAAAAAATATATAAATCTAAACATTTTGAAACCCATCGCTTTGATAACAACGGGTCACGCGTCAATGTCAGTGGTACAATTAAATACACTGATTTGCTTGCGCAGAATTCACAAAGGGTGGGCCTTATCAACAAACTCAGTCGAGGAACATCTGAACTGCCAAAAATAATGTAAAATATGACGACCTCCGTAGCCGAGTGGTTTATAAGCTAGTTTCAAGGTATCGCCAACTCTGAGGTCCTGGGTTCGAATTCCGGTCAGATCAATGAAAAAAATGAACTTTGGGTATCGTGTTAACTTCGTTGTCCCGGACACTCCATGATACGGGGACTCTAGCTACTTATCTTAAAATCTGAACAATGTACGTGATTTCGTCTTATATTTAAATTCCATCGCGTACAGCGCATACTTCTCTGAGACACTTGTCGGATATTCCGTCATAATATCGACAACGTTTTAGACATAAAAGGTATTCTTAACTAAGTATTTTAATTCTTCTTCTTCTTTTAATTCTTCTCCAGCACAATAAAACTATACGCGTGCGATTCATCATTTCCCAAATACTTCATCAACACGCCATCGTCATTGACCAACAGTTCAGAATCCAATATGACTGGTTCAAATAACACTCAAGCAACACAACCATCGACCGAAGAGTGCTATAGACCAGAATACGTGGTTTTTACTTGGATACTGTGCTTGGTCGCACTCACGTCTATTCTGAAGCTGTATTACCTGATCAAGACCCTCCTGGCTATTGTTAACGTGGCCATGTACACTATCCTGCTGCTCGTCTACTATGATGTTTATTACATCAATGGAACCAACAATACGTGAGTATCTTTAAAATTATTGTAGGCTAACTAAAAAAATTACTTAAACAACGAAATAAAGAAAATTTCAGTCTACGCTTGGAGAGGTTCTGCAGCTATCATAAAAGCCGGATATCAAATAGATAACCAAAAAATTCAAGCAATTTTCCTGATTATATACTTTAAATTGTTGATCCTGGTTATATATGGATTCGTTAATACCCACATTCCCTTGTGAGATTTTACTATGAGAAAGGCCTGTGCCTCAGCAATGGGGTCACTTAACGCTCTCTTGTAAGAAAATTTTGTAATCAGACTACAATGATATTGTTCTTGTTACTGTTAACATGTCGAGTGTTCAATGAGACCTAAAACGCCTGGTACATGTAGACAGCATGGAAAAAGATCAATAGTTAATGACTAAATAGTTATTCAGCGTTATATTCAAAGGACATCAACCAGAGATTTGTTATAGAGAACTTCAGTCTCCAAACACTGCGTAGCTATTAAAAACTTGGTATGAAAACCAAAAACGACGTTTTAACGACAAAAAAATGACCCAAGAAATATCCAATTTAATATAAACAAATCTCCAAAAAGCCAAAATTGTTTCGGCAGCTCGCTGAAATTCTACGTGCAAATGTTGATCCTGATGATAATGTTCCTGGTGATGGTGGTGTACCACGCGCGATTGGTGGAGGTGACAGCGCGGCTCGACTTCCTGTGGCGGCTGCAGGCGGAGACCGACCTCGACGAGATGGAGGACACGCAGCGCACCAACCGGCAGCTGCTCAAGCACATCCTGCCGGACCATGTGGTCAACCACTTCCTGAGCAAGGACAGGTGCCCGGATGTGAGTGTTCTTTACGACCAAATGTTCACTTTTCAATTCAATTCAATCCTTTATTTACCCTTTATTACATTTCGCAACTTAGGCAAGTCATAATACAATTACATCATATCATAAATATAAGTACCTATTCTACAAATTAAAAGTATCACACACTAACATAATAAACACCTATTATCACTGATATCAACAATCATACAGAAATATAATCATTTCCAATAACAAAAGACTAATATTATAAAAAAAAGTGGTTGAATTTTGGCGATGACTAGTTTTCTATCTATCTTTACTAATATATTTAATATTTATTTGAGTAGCTCGATGGCGTAGAGGGTAACCGCCGCGACCTGCGAACGTTGTTATTAAGCAACTTTTAAAAAGCAAAGTAAATTTAAGATAAAATTGCAATTTAAGTATAAGTCCAAATTCATATTATACAGAAATTAAGCAAACCTACTACCTTCTAGGAGTAAATATTACTCTCGTAGAATCTCGTACTAGGTTAAACTTTGCTAAGTCGCTGTTTATTAATATGAATTATGACTAATACTAAGTGTAGTCTCAGCGTAAATTTACTCCAACGCTAAACCTTGTTTATTATTAACTCTTAATTTGACAAGTAACGAACGTAGATGAGGCGAAAGACGGGCATAGGGCATAAGGCTCATTGTCTTTTAGCGCTTGATCCTCTCTATGTAGCCTGCAAACTAATGATATTATATATTGATTACCTGTCACATTATATCCAGGAGCTGTACTCGCAGTGGCGCGACGAAGTGGGCGTGATGTTCGCGGGCATCCCAAACTTCCACGAGTTCTACTCGGAACAGAAAGCTGTAGACTGCATGCGGCTCCTGAACGAGATCATTTGTAATGTACCAACCGACACATATCTATCGCATCAATATTCTATCTCCTCTGCGATCTCCGCAGCCGAGTGGTTCAAATCTCTGAGGTCCCGTGTTCGATTTCCAATCGGGTCAATGGACTTTTCTATATTGTCTCGGGTCTGAATGTTGTGGTATCTGCGTCGTCTCAGATACTCCATAATGGGAGGAATTAGCTACTCATTTTGCAATCTGAGTCAATGTAGGATAGATAACAAGATGTTATCAGATATTTATTTTTTTCTTCACTATTAGGAGGCAGCTTTTCTATATGATAAAATCACATAGCCATGTACCATTGGCCTAACTCGAATTAGTGGGTGTTTAGTATACTGTGTTAACCCCATTTGGAAGTATACCGTATAAACATAATTAATTTTATGAATAAACAAAACTATTGATCTAATTAATATGAAATTACCATAACGAGAGGACTTATAAAAGTTGCTTCCTTTCGCCAGTTGACTTCGATAAGTTGCTGATGCAGCCCAGATTCAAGAGCATAGAGAAGATCAAGACAATAGGAGCAACTTACATGGCCGCTTCGGGTCTCAATCCTAATCATAAAGTAAGTTTCATAGATTCCGATTCTTAATAATCCAGTCACAATAAACTGTTTAACCTTAGTATCAGCAGAGCGATCGCCAAACCATAAACCTAGCCAGTTTCTTGACGTGTTTTCTGGTAGATAAATTCGGGATTAAAATTTATACTAATTTGGTAACGGTGCTGTCAAATCTATAACAATCGTCATTCTTTATCATCCATACGTCAATAGTAAAGTATATGTTCAAGTAGTAAAATGTAATGAAATATGGATACAATCGATTTTATCGTATCCTAGAGTCATAGCTAGAGAGTTAGGAGGTCTCAGCCCAGTTCCTATACCAAAATAATGTACAAAGGTTTCATCAGGAATCTTAGTGAAAATCTTAGGAAAGGTTTCGATCGAGTTGCTAATTAATTAATTGGTTGGTTGTGACGTTAATCATTTCCCTTTCTACTTGTAGACTGGAGAAGACGATTGCGAACACTTATGCGCGTTGGTAGACTATGCGTTTGCGTTAAAGGAGACACTAGAGGAAATTAATAAACACAGCTTTAACAAATTCCGATTAAGAGTAGGTGAGTATGGTTCACTAAAAACATTATTCGATTATTATTCGATTCATTATTACTTCATGGCATAGTAATAGGGATGATGACTGGGTAAAAAAATACAATTCTAATTAGTCCGTCAGTCAGATAATAGAAAAATATTAGATACGTATTTTTTTTTTACTTCAATTTAACAAGAAATAGCTTAGATAACAGGCATTAAAGTTGAGGAGTGGGGGCTCGCTACGTCACAGTTGAGTAGAAAACGTACTCTAACATGACATCATGCGAAATTTCAACTCAATGTAACGCCGTAATTTTATGATTACGAAAAAAATACGTGTTTAATATTTTTTAACACTCTACCTGACGGACAAACAAACAAAAATTAGTCATCATCCCTATTGCTGGGATTCGGTCCTTCCTTATGACTGGAATCAGACCGTAACCATGCAAGCTCAATGCCTATTTGTGAGTATTAACGATTGCGGTTGCCGCCGGGATAAACAGCTTAACATGCCTCCTTAAGCAAGATGGAGTTCGAGATAATAAATTTCTGGTCACTCATCTTACGAACAGCCCTTGCGAAAGTTGCTTAACTTTCGTATAAGTTCCTCGCTTATTACTCGTTTAATATAACTTACCATTCTGGTAAGGCTTACCCGTACTAAAACATCTTGTTCTTGCGTCAACGTCTATTTAAACATTTCACTGCGACACACATATATATAGATGACTCGTGAGTCTTCCGATTCCCGGTCGGGTAAATGTAGAAAATTATTTGTGAATGGTTCAGGTATAAGTTGCGGTCCGCTGGTGGGCGGTGTGATAGGCGCCCGCAAACCTGTGTACGACATCTGGGGGAACACCGTGAACGAGGCCTCGCGGATGGAGAGCACCGGCCTTATGGACCGAATACAAGTCACCAAGTACACCAAACAGGTATTGCTATTGTAAAAAGTCGTTATATGTTAATCTGTATTCTATTATGATTTTTGTCTAACTAACTTTGACTTTAATGATATTGTAATACGGGTTTAAATATAAACTTCTTATGGTCTTCCACATAACTATATAAAGATATACCATTACAAAAGTAAGTTTAACGTTAAAGAACGCTGAACAGATTCATTGTAACAATTAATGAAATTTATTTTTCAAGTATGCATTGCGCGGCGTCGGGAAAATCTTATATTTTCCAACGTTTGCTCCATTTCATTAATAATATAATAGAGTTAACGGGAATACTCATTTTGTTTTACCAAACTTAACTTGATTAAGGCATGGTCGGTTGCGCACATGTCTTTCTGCCACTTTATCATTGGAAAGTCAAACCCGAGACTTTAGGTCAGGTCAGGTTCAGCGTCAGGGGTTAACGTTAAAACCATCATACAATAGAGTTAAAAAATAATCAGCTTTATAAAAATATCGGATCCTCAAACAGAGGGGGGGGGGGGATGTTAGAAAGACGCGATGACAAAATTTAGATCCTGCGTCTGGTTAAGTCTGTTAACGGCACGCGTTTACTGGTCGGTCAGCTGCTGGAGGGGCGCGGCTACGAGCTGGAGGGCCGCGGCGGGGTGGAGGTGAAGGGCAAGGGGCGCATGCACACGTGGTGGGTGCGCCGCCAGCGCGGCGTCGCGCGCCGCCCCACCGCCGCCTCCGCGCCGCCGCGCTCGCTCGCCGCCATCGTGTACAACATGCTGCAGGCGAGGAAGCGGATATACACGCACCCGCTAGACAACTCCAACGGGACAGGTACCTACTGTACGTCGCACGACTATTTTCTAGGATCGAAAGTCTCTTTATCCATACCTCGCAGCGACACCTCTGTTCCGGCATATCTACGTTACCCGTTTGCTACGCCTTCGTACGTAGATTTTTATAGGGGCAAAGTCTGCGTTACGTTGAAACGTACTTAATTAAGATACCTATAATTCGAAATATAAACCCACAAAAATGGTTGGAGTTTTCCATCAGCTAACGTGCGTATAGGCTATGTTACTTTTTGCGATTCCAGATTATCGTTCACTCGCAGTTGTCTGGGCTATAAAGTTGATAAGCTGTTGTTCAATTAATTATTTGATTTGATTAGATGATGATGCTTTTTTCCCGAAGGATACAGTAGAATCCCGATTATCCGGATCAATCAAAACCAGTATTCCGATAATCGATTTCAACGCTGAATCAAATAATATAAATTTTTTAATAATTTTTTCATCGTCGTCGCCGAAATGATACGATTTTTAGAAATCGAGCCATATTGATAATACCACGCTTCGGCATGAATGGGCCGGCTCAACCGGAGTGGTACCACGGCCTCACAGAAAACCGACGTGAAGCAACGCTTGCGTTGTGTTTCGTCGTGTGAGTGAGGGTACCGGAGGCCCAACCCCTCCCTATTCCCTTCCCTCTACCCCTCAACCCTTCCCTCCCTATGATCATATTCGTCCCTCAAAGGCCGGCAGCGCGTTTGTAGCCCCTCTGGTGTTGCAGGTGTCCATGGGCGACGGTAATCACTTACCACCAGGTGATCCCACTGCTCGTCTGCCCCCTATCCCATAAAAAAAAACCTATGTTATTGATCTTTGCTTTCCATTGCGACCTAGACCCTGATGTTCTTCAGTTGTAACATGGGATCCGACTTAATATGTCTTTAAAACCACTTAAAATCTTTTGCGTGCGATGGTACACATTTATACCGAAAAGACAATATTACCTACCACTTGAACGGTATCGAAAAAATAACACAGTACAAACACCATATCGCAAATAAATGAGCGGGAGTACACGATGTGGTCGTAGGGAATAAACATTTTATAATACGTCTCGTCTCGGCTTAGTAAAAAAAAATAGGTTGACAATCAAAGCTGAAAAGAATGATTCCGAATAATCGGAAGTCGATAATCTGGATCCTACTGTATTTACTAAATCACTGAATATACGTTTCTTAATAAATAGGTACCTACATTTGGGTTCATATCTAAATGGTCACATTTTTTGCAATTAATTATATATTGATTTTATTTTTTTTTGCAAATAATAGGTATATACCTATTGATTTTTGACTTTGAATCAAAAAATGTCGTTTAATAAATAAATACTACTTCATTAATTATTAAAAAAACGAATAAATTGAATAAATCATCTAGAATAAATATTAAAATATAAAGTGTAAATTCGATGATGTATTGGTGGCAGTGCCGCGCGGTGGCAGCGTGCACTACGGCGGGTCGGCGCGCGGCACCACGCGGCACCGCTCCGAGCTGCGGCGCGCGCGCACCAGGCACGGTCAACACAGGTACACTACACTACACTACACTACACTAAACTACACCTATCGAAGTGTATTTACGCGCCTAACTTCTGAACAACTGCATTAAATTGGATGATTCTTTTTTAATGTGTTCCTCATTGTCAGGACAAGGTTTGTATATAAGAAAATTCATAGAAAAGTAAATAAAATAAATCAGAGTTAATTTTGACAGATCTTTGACGAAACAAAAACAATTGACGTTTGCCAAATTGACAGTATGGTGATATTTTAAATAGGTATTGTACTATCAATATTTCCTCGGTCAGGACTGGAGAAATAAAATATGATGGACCGAAGTTCGCCGGGTCAGCTAGTCTTCTATATATAAAACCAATTGCTGTTCGTTTGTCTAGCTGAAACTCGAGACCGACTAGACCGATTAAGCTGATTTTGATTTTAAAATGTTTGTCGTAGTCTAGGGAAATTGTATAATATTGTAAATATACATATTTGCCAATTTTTCCTATAAAAAGTATACATAGGGGAAGTTTGGCACCATTCGTACACGGGGAACCTTCATACAGTCACTACTACATCTTGTAGAAAAGCCTATTTATTACGACTTTGTGTTAGTGGATAGGCGCCGGCGACTGCCAGTTGTCCACGAAGTTAGCCAAACATGCAGCCACTGCGAGCGAAACTAGAGAACTTAAAGTATTTTGGCATGCTCATAGTAAATATTTTGTTAATTTTTTGGATCTTCCGTGCTTTAATCATACGTTAAATTTTATTGGATTATTGCTTAATCGTAAGTGAATACGATTAAGATAATAATATATATCCATATTGTGTATTTTTCTACGTGGGTTTTGTGTTAGAAAAAATAATTTTATTATATATCTTCGGGGCACGTTCGTACATTTCCAGAAAGGGCACATTCGTACGCGTATGTGTGTATGCTAACAATTTTTATTATTATATCAGAAAATTTACGTACGTAAGTACGCGTATGTGCTAACAATTTTTATTATTATATCAGAAAATTTAGAAAAAATGATCGGAATTTTAAGAAGAAAAAGCAGACACGTTCCCAATATTAATTAAATGAGTTTTTTTTGCATCTGTAAAGGTTTTAAATAGTAAAAACCAAATTGTTTTACTGAAAAGACTAACCAATTGAAAAAGTTAATAAACACATTTCGGACTCACGATGTTGGATGTAACAACACTATCAAATGATTATGATAAAGTTATGAAATATAAATATTTGCAAAATTGTTATGAAACTGGCTTCGCTGATATTGAATGGATGCACGGTTTTCGTAAAAAATATAGTTAGACTCTAAGCCTATTAGTCGTATAGTTTATTACATCGTTTATAAGTTTAAGATCAATGAAAACGATTTTTTTAATTCATTTGTTGTTTTACTTAATATATATGAAGTTACCACACTTTCTGAATGTTCCCCGGCCCATGTACGATTGTACCCCTTAATAGGGATAGATTCGGACATTTCATTAGCTTTTAGTAAAATTCAATCCTTTGATATATTATACAAGATATCAACTTTGAACTTTTTAAATAAGGAGCAGAAAGTATGCTTTATGTTTTAATAAGTAATTGAGTAATTTATCTTTGATTATCAATATTTTAAACATCATTGACTAAAAAGTGTACGAATGGTCCCAATCTTCCCCTATACGTACATAACTAATTACGGAAAAAATATATATCGGTGTTTTTTTTTTTCTATTCAGAAAACTGAATTCACGTTTTGACTGGCAAACCCAAAATAATATGTAGGGTAGTTTTGTTAATTTTCAATCACAGTTTGTTTGAACGTTATTTGTACACACAGCAGCGCACCAGGTTAGTACAATATGTCAAATTTCCGCCACTGATTTCGAGTAAATGGTTGTGAATGGTTCCAATGCAGATGTGATGGCGACGAGTTGGAGTTGGGCGGCATCCGTCCGCACGCGAGCAGTATGGTGGTGCGGCGGCCGGAGATGGCGCCGCCGCTGGTGGGCAGCGCGTCCGCCCCGCACACGCCCACCGCGCCCGCCCATCTGCAACACGACCACGCCAACAAACACAAACTGGGACTCGGTAATGTGACACCTGACTTTCACTAGCGATTATTTTTACCTCGAGAACTACAAATCGGTGGGTGACCCGAACTTCAAAGAGTAACGTAAATAAAATTAAAAAAAAAACAAGCTTTTCTTAGACAAGAAATCTTACACTGTTTCTCTGAAAACGAAATGACTCCAAATTGTAAAACGTATTTTCTCATAATTTATAATGCTATGGAAATGGGACCTATAATAAATCTTTACGTAAATGACGCCAATCACTGGCTAACACATTTTCTCAAAACTACTGTTATTATTTTTTCGTGTATAAAGGATTAACGTTTATCTTGTTTAGGTAATTTTAGTTAGTAAATTTGATTAATTGCAATTATCTTAATTTTATAACTAACCAAAATATCAGGTTAAAACGCGATTTTTAATAAAGTTGAGGCTCTGTCGGCACGGGTTGTAATCATGCTCAAGTTCAAATTTATATTTAAGCATGCATTTCTAATATATATATATATATATATGAGAGACACCCTAATGTACATACTTAATAGGAGCTTTCTTCCGTTCAGGTGCAAGACTAAAAGCGGCCAGTTTCTCATATCGTACACGCCCAAGAGACAAATCGCCTAAAGTTCACGAGCAATCTAAAGAAGGTTCAGTGAACTCCATAGCGAACGGCGCGCCAGGATCGTTCAGATTCAGGTCGGTCACCACCGCCTCATTCTTCAGGAGCAGGAACAAAGACAAGAGGAGCAGGGAACAGCTAGAAGAACAGCACAAGGAAAACGGTGACGTCATGACTACAAAAATGTAACAGTACTGATGAAGACTTATACAAATGTTATTGGGTTTCCTTTTTTTTATTACACTACATTTTTTTTGAAAAATCTACTAAGTGCAGCGTAAAAAAGAAAATAAAAATATAGTCCAGCCAAATTCGATGAAAAATAAATATAAACAAACCAAGTTAGGGTCTTCACAACTCAGATGACAATAAAATATATAAAACTCATATTTCTCACCAGGATACTGCACATTACTTCATTATATTCAAGAGAATATTTTTTACTGCCATATATTAATATTTAATAATACTTCAATAATGCATAATACTTCAATATTTTGGGGAAAAAAATGGAAAGTAATAATAAAACTGTTTTTTTTTTACTTGATAGCAAATAATAGAATTCAGATATTTGAAACATTTTTTGCACTTTTAAATAAAGTTGTCGATTACTTTAAGACATGTTCCTTTAGATTGACTACATTTGAAATCGATCTATTATAGAAAGGTTATTTAATATCTGACAGTTGTTCCTAAGTAACGCTTTGGTATTAAACATTCTTCACCGAATTTGGCTGTAGTATAATTATGCCATATTTTGTTTGCCATGTTGAAACGTTAATTATATTATTGTTAATTATCATAAGTTATTTGTTAAATAATTTTTATTTCATTTTACGTGGGCGAAGCTAATATCAGATTGTATATAATACAAAGTTTTTCTCTTTATAATATTAGTATGGACATCAGATTATCACAATATGTCTTTCCGCAAACTCGTACTTAAATTTGTACTCGTTTTTCAACCTCTTGACGCATATTAATAGGTGAGAACCGTTTTGTATAAACTTATTGTTTATTGTACATTAAACGGCATTATAATTAATCAGATATTATGTTTATTTACATTTACATTGAAATTTACAAATTAAATATAAGCATTGAATTATTTATGCTATTTATTTATAATTATGAAAAGCACAATTAATACTTAATTTCTTTTATTAAAGTAATTGTAAATAAAATTACATTATACGATGTTATATATTATTTTTAATTTTATACTTACTTTACTCAATTTGTAAATACTTATTTATGACAAGGGGATTAAAGTAAACGCTAAGAAGTCTTCCAAAGGGAGATGCTAAGATGCTTTTGTAAATAATAATAAATAAGCTATATAGTAAGTAAAACATTAATGTTACTATCTGTATAATTTAGCTGACATGTATACGTAAGCCAATTAGCATAATGTCGATAAGATAATCCAAAATAAAAATATATGATCAATATAGGAACGTTTAAATTCTTTATTGGGATAGGAAGGGACCAAGTGAGAGATACGGATGGAGAAAAAATTTAAACGTTCTGTAGTTTATATAAAGACTATAATATTTTAGTGTTAAGTTTCGTGATGTCCCAATATATATATATTTTTTTTAGTTAAGTCATTATTTATCGAATTGATGTTCAATTACCTCAATGTAAGTAACCAAGCCAAAATTATGCCAAAGATGAATTTTGATCTCGTATTTTTCCGATCAAGTAAGTATAGTAAAATAATAAGCGATAATGTTTTCAGATCTGAATGTTATTATTGACAAATGTCTAATGAATAATACGAGGGTCAAACTGAAAGTTCTTAGAAAATCAAAAACTGATTACATTAGCCAGTTATTAGTTTTATTATATCTTTTCAAAATATTGTCCATTCACGTCAATACACCGCTGCATGCGATGGAACCACTGGGAAAAGCACTTTGCCCACTCGTCCTTAGGGGTCTCTTCAATGGCATCGCGATACGCAGCCACCGCTTCTTCAGCATTCATAAACCGCTTTCCTTTAAGTTTTTCTTTAATTTTTGGAAATAAATAAAAATCACAAGGCGCGAGGTCGGGGCTATACGGCGGGTGACCCAGTAATTCAACGTTTGATGTCGCCAAATAGTCGATCGTTCGCTTGGCGGTGTGCGACGAGGCGTTGTCGTGGTGAAGGAGGATCCTACTGCGAGGTCGTTTCTCTCGAACTTTTTCCAAGACAAGTGGCAAACAATTGGTAGTGTACCATTCTGCAGAAACTGTTTTTTGATCCTCTAACACAATTGTTGCAAAATGACCTATCCTTCCAAAGAACGAGGCCACCATTTTTTTTCCCGCACTTCGATCTCTCTTCACTTTAGTTGGCAACTCCTCGAAAGGAAACACCCACTGAGCAGATTGTCTTTTGGTTTTAGGATCATAACAGTAAATCTAGCTTTCGTCACCTGTTAGTATGTCGAACACAGCATTTGAGTCACCTCCGTTAAATCTTTCAATCATTTTACGACACCAATCCACACGATGGAGTTTTTGAGCCTCAGTCAAATTATGAGGTATCCACCGGGCGCAAAGCTTCCTGACCGCTAAATGTTCGTGGAGGATTTTGTGCACTTGACTCATACCGATGCCTAAGCTTGTCCGAATCTGTTGATAGGTCACTCTTTTGTCAGTCTCTATCATACGCCGCACAACACAGATGTTATCTTCAGTCGTCGCCGTAGAAGGCCGTGCCTCACGTAAATCATCAGTGAGATTAGTGCGACCACGTTTAAACTCATTAAACCAGTTGTAAACAGTCGCACGAGATGGGGCTTCATCGTGAAAGGCCAATCGTAGTCTATCATAACTTTCTTGTTGACTTAAATAACATCGAAAGTCATAAAAAATCATTGCACGAAAATTTTCTCGTGTTAAATTCATGATGACGTGACACAGACAATTTTCAATTTGCCGCCAAATCGTAAAACAAATGACAAATGAATGAAATATATACTCAGTAATATTGGCAAAGAGTTATATTTTCAAATTTTAGAATTATTTTTTTATTATATTGTTTATAAGTGGCCAGTTCTAAGAACTTTCAGTTTGACCCTCTAATACTGTTGTAGTTAAAAATAAAATTTATTGTATTATAAATATTACCAAAGCCAAATTAATAATGAATATATGTATAAAGAAATATACCAATTATGAAAAATAAAACAATAAAAGTAAAATATAAATTGAATTTTATTCCAATTTCAGCGAATCGTTTTACAAACACACAAAATGGAATTTAACATGAAATTTATAGCAATAAATACTATATAATTATCGTTTACAGACTAAATTATAATAGCTTTGGAAAAATGTCACTTTCATATAGTGAAAATTATCACGATGCATCATAACCGTCCGCTTTACTAACGACCATTCTATTTAATAAGTCACAATAATCTAAGCCTTATTGCCTTTAACTAAGATTGAAAATCCTGATTGGTGATTTTCATTTTTGACTGAAAATTTCGTTATGTAGTCGAGAGTTGCCAACCGTCCTGTTTTCCTAAGGCAAGTTCTGGTTTTTGTAGTGATGTCCTGAATAGTTTTTAATATCCTGAGTTTTAAAAGCATCCTGAGTCATATATTTTTAAAGACACGCTCTCATTTTGCACTACTTTTATAAAAAAAAATAGATTATTATTACTGGAGATTTCGTTAACTATTTTATTATAAGTGCGTATTTGTTTTGAAACCGAATTTTCCTGCTTTTTCCAATTTCAAAACCCAGTTTTTAAAATTTGGTGTCGGCAACCCTAGTTTTAGTAGTGACTATGATATTTTTAATAGATTAACGAATTTATGGATTCATAAATTATTAAAAATTCCGCTTAACAACTGAAAACTCACGTTTCTAGCATTTTTCTAGATCAAACAACAATTAGACAAATTGACTGATTATGAATATATTCTTTGTTCACTAAAGGACAGAAATTTATCTATGAAACGATGTCACAATATTAAAAAAACCTTTTAACACATTTTCCACACGACTAAAGAATCATTGAGATATTACTGCTGTTCTTTATTGCTTATACACACACGAGTATGTTCAGACATTACTTTTATTTCAACAAGTTACCCATGACTGACTTTCAACAAACTAAAACTGTTATAGATACCGGAAGATAGATATATTATTAAAACGTTTATTCAATACCAATAACTAACAAATGTAAATGGAAACTACGATAAGATATATCCAGCAAATAAAACCATATTTCCCAATGATTAAGAATGAAGATGAATAGTAACTCTTACAATCTAATTTTTTTTCAACACAAAATTAAAGTCGAACCTAATGAGAATTCTTTATGATTTATATTTTTCCCATGACCTAAATAAATATATAAATGGTCGGTTAATTTTTATTTATTTTTATTTTTGAATAAAACTCGATTTTCCAATTCTTATTTTGTTAGTTTTTTTGTTTACCTCTTTCGCATACAAATTAAATCTATACCAACAAATTGGACCCTTTACCTGAAGTTGTATTCAAACATGTCTTCTTTCAAATAACATTGTTTACTTGATATGTGATATCTAATTTTAAACAAACTTCGGGTAGGTTTACGATCACCATATCTCATAAAGGCGCATAAAAGTCATCCTCAGACAACTACATTATAATCTTCACATAACTTACACGGTTATCCTTAAAATATATATAAACAAACACTGGCATTCTTTGTGACGATACAACACAATAATATATATAATATACATTTATAAATCAACAAGACTTATGAACGTAATTCTAATTTGTTTTGTATTTACGTCGTTGTATATTCTAGACGATATCTTACTACAAATTGTACTATCATATTCATTCAAAGTATTTGACTTTATGAACGATCAATTAGTTTAAAAAAAAAAGAAACATATGACGATACAGTATAATCACTTTTAGAGCATTGCAACATGCATTTTTAACCTAAAAATTAAAATGTAGATACTTTCAGCATCGAGTATCACAGTGCCCTACTGTGAAATGCAGTGGTTAGTGCATTTAATCTGCGATTACCGTAGTTTAGGTAGTAGGGACATTAATATCCTCAAGAATATAGTTCTAGCATTTAGCTATTTCGTAGTATTGTTCCATACGCAAATCGCAAATAAATTCCAATCACAACGTTTACATCTTCTTTTAGAATTCATACTGCAATGTTACACACTGCATACATTCAGATACCAGTCGCAATAATTCAATTTAGACTATGTCATCCAGGTACAAAGCCCATTTTTCACTAAACTCAATACCACGAATAATAGGGATGATGACAAATTTTTGTTGTTTGTCCGTCAGGTAGAGTGTTAAAAAATATTAAACACGTATTTTTTTATTTTTTTCGTAATCATAAAATTACGGCGATACATTGAGTTGAAATTTCGCATGACGTCACGTTAGAGTACGTTTTCTACTCAACTGTGACGTAGCGAGCCCCCACTCCTCAAATTTAATGCCTGTTATCTATACTATTTCTTGTTAAATTGAAGTAAAAAAAAATACGTATCTAATATTTTTCTATTATCTGACTGACGGACTAAATAGAATTGCATTTTTTTTACCCAGTCATCATCCCTATTGAAGGTAACCTCCTAAAATACAAATCAGTATTGTATGTTTGTGTATAAAATCACCGATTATAAAAAATTTTGTAATGTATAGTTTTTACTAAATGCGATTTATAACTAGAGACAGATCTCCATTGCTAAAAGTATCTTTTAAGGAGCCTCTAACGAACACGCAAGAGGTAACTGAAAGTCAAACACCTTTCATAGTTATATTTATGACTAAAATATGACGTCAAGATTAAATAATACATTCATACAATTAACTAGCTCATACACTAGCAACCAGGGGTCTTATTGTGTAACTCAAAAATCATAATTTACAATTTTGAAAATCAAACAATATCATTGATAAACTTTGCATACACGATGCTATAATGATATTTTATCTTATAACTCTCCAGCAGTCCCACATGCCCTAGAGGGGATTCTGAACCTTTCGCAATAAAGACAATTGCTTTAAAGCAGGTTTTCCCAACCTTTCTTGAGATAATTTTCATGCGGGATCACTGTTTCAATAAATACAAAATATGCAAATTATTTAAAATACTTTTCAGTTGAAATATGAATTAATTTTTATTAGTAAATATTTTTTTTCCAAAATACAAACTCACTTCTCTCAATGCCCCCCCTTAACAGTTGAGAAGTCCTGCTTTAAAGTGTATTTTAAGTATATTTCCAACCCAAAAATATCTTGTTTTCTTATCAGGAGAGCGGGATCTTTATTCTACTTAAATTTACGCAAAAAAAACTCAATTGCGCTTAAATTTATTGCATTTTACCACAGTATTATCGGCCTGGGGCAAAATATTTAGCACAATGGCGTCTTAATATATCAAAGAGTCACAGTTATTTTTGAACTAGTTTTGAAGGTATCGCCATCTCCGAGATGTAGAAAATGAGCTTTTCTGTATTGTCTCGGGTCTGAGCGGTCTTTCAAATTTTTATAATATAACACTAGTATGAATTAATAATAATTTCATATATAGTCGAGAAAAGTACTCGAGAATATGTTATAACTTCAGAAGATATTTTTAGCAAATAAACAAGAATTTTGATGAAGTAAGAAACGTTAATAGTTAGAATACTATGATTAGTAGCTCGTCTATTATCGTCTATTGGTTAAAAATATTTAATGAAGTTTTGACACTTCCTCAAGTATTTACATCTTTTTAATTTAGCTACCTTATTTGAAATCTAAGCAATGTATGTGATGTTCGCTAAGTTGTACAGACGTCCATTAATATTTAATGACGCCTTTAAGCTCTAATGAATGTCAAATTTGTGTAGGTAACATCGTTTTAAACTAATGCAAATTTTAATGGACGTTTTTGCAACTGGCTGATTGTCTAATATTTATTATTATTTACTTGCAAGAACTGTGTAAATTGAGATGTGATTTAACGCCATAACTTTATTACCATCACTAGAATTGCAGCTCACATGTAGCATTTATTAATCACATATGATATTACCACTATTTGTTTTATTGAAGAAGTCGCAATCGCGGTAGTTACACAATAAGGCGTGTATTCTCTATCACATTCTACAATAAATATGAGGTTACCACACTAAGCTACCAAGGCACATAGTAAAAAATATACAAACTTTGTAAATAAACATAAATACAGGCAAGACAGTTTCATAATTGTAGCCAATAATTTTTTTACCCAAAAATATATTATATCTATGGCACCAAATTTTGTGAATTTTTCATTTTGTAAAATGTATTTAACCAACATAGATAAATTGTATTTAATAAATAAATAATACTAATTGTGATCTTCACGCACCATCGGTGTTTTTAATACTTCCACCCATCTGTAAAATTAATGGATGAATTGAAGATTGGATACATTTACACAACAAAGTCTGCGGTAAATTCAAAAATTACCAATTAATTTTAATATTAACACTTTATTCCGTTTAATTTACTCTAAGGGACAACTACATATTTTGATAAACACACGCCATTTTTAAAGAGTCTGAGGCCTTGGGGTCGATTTTCAGTCGGGTAAGTGTATAAAATGAACTATTCTACATTGTTTCGCGTATATTTTCGGTGCCGACAAAATTGGCCAGATGCACCTGCGCGAGCGCAACAACAGTATGTTAATAACAGTATATTACACGCGAGTGAAAGAGATATGTAATGCCGTATCATTGTACGGAATTCTCTTTTTATTACATATTCTAAATAAAATAATTTATAAGTAATAATTTTATTGGCCATCACATAACGACATAATTAGTTCAGTATCGCTCACCTGTTATAAGTGTATATACTATCTGCACGGAAGAAGTACACGTGATTCTTGAACTGTAACTTGAACACGAAATCCTTGTCGATGCCGTCCGCCTGCGTGGGCGACGCCACCGCGTATCTAAACGATCATACAGTACGTGAACTAATACAATATAAACAGTACACAAATTGACTTATATGTGTTGTACATTATTAATGTTGTATCGCTTGCAAGTGTCGAATTATCAAGAAATCGTACAATGTAAGATACACGGTATACATTCCGCTTATAATTATTACCCTTAACAAATACTAAGAACGGATCGATCGAGTAAAGCAGGCAAAACAGGAAATCGTAAGTAAAAATAATGAAAACATATCTATTACTCTTAATGACACTTTTTTTATTAATGAATTATTCTTTATTATAAAAACACTATTTATTAAACAAAGGACATAAACAGTAAAAAATAAGTATAGTACAATCGGCGGCCTTTTCGCTGAGCGATTTTATTCCAGGAAACCGTTATCACTTAGGAAGGATAAATAAATATATCATCATCATCATCATGTCAGCCGAGAGACGCCCACTGCTGGGCATAGACCTCCCCCAAAGATCTCCAACGTGATCGGGCCTGCGCCTCCCGCAATAAATATATATTAATGTTAATTTCCCATAATACTCACCCAAGCAAGGGTAATGAAGCGAGTGGCGCCTCGTCCTGCCAGGTCTTGTAGAAGAACAATGTAAACATCGCGAACACCACCCACAGCTTCTGCCATCCTGGAGATTTCTTGAACTTACGCAATAGGTATCCGGACAGCTGCGTCTATTAGATAAAGCAAATTAACATAAAGCTTTATTTCACTTCTTGCCAATGAGCTTATAACATTTAATTTTAAAAACTCCTTTACTTCAAAAAGTAAATAGAGCCATGAGTGATGAGTACATGTAGCAGATGTGTGGAGAGTGATGAGTGTAGTCATCTGTAGCGCTATGTGTAGCATGTGTGGAGAGTGATGAGTGTAGTCACCTGTAGCGCTACGTGTAGCAGATGTGTGGAGAGTGATGAGTGTAGTCACCTGTAGCGCTACGTGTAGCAGATGTGTGGAGAGTGATGAGTGTACTCACCTGTAGCGCTACGTGTAGCAGTTGTGTGGAGAGTGTTGAGTGTAGTCACCTGTAGCGCTACGTGTAGCAGTTGTGTGGAGTGTATTTAGTGTAGTCACCTGTAGCAGATATGTGGAGTAATGAGTGTAGTCACCTGTAGCGCTACGTGTAGCAGTTATGTGGAGAGTGTTGAGTGTAGTCACCTGTAGCTACGTGTAGCAGATGTGTAGAGAGTGATGAGTGTAGTCACCTGTAGCGCTACGTGTAGCAGATGTGTGGAGAGTGATGAGTGTACTCACCTGTAGCGCTACGTGTAGCAGATGTGTGGAGAGTGTTGAGTGTAGTCACCTGTAGCGCTACGTGTAGCAGTTGTGTGGAGTGTATTTAGTGTAGTCACCTGTAGCAGATGTGTGGAGAGTAATGAGTGTAGTCACCTGTAGCGCTACGTGTAGCAGTTGTGTGGAGAGCGTTGAGTGTAGTCACCTGTAGCGCTACGTGTAGCAGATGTGTAGAGAGTGATAAGTGTAGTCACCTGTAGCGCTACGTGTAGCAGTTGTGTGGAGAGCGTTGAGTGTAGTCGCCTGTAGCGCTACGTGTAGCAGATGTGTAGAGAGTGATGAGTGTAGTCACCTGTAGCGCTACGTGTAGCAGATGTGTGAGAGTGATGAGTGTAGTCACCTGTAGCGCTACGTGTAGCAGATGTGTGGAGAGTGATGAGTGTAGTCACCTGTAGCGCTACATGTAGCAGATGTGTGAGAGTGATGTGTAGTCACCTGTAGCGCTACGTGTAGCAGATGTGTGAGAGTGATGTGTAGTCACCTGTAGCGCTACGTGTAGCAGATTAGTGGAGAGTGAGGCGGCTCGATGCCAGCACACTTGTGAGAGCGCGCTGCTCATCGTCTGCATCACCTGCGTCGTTCCCTCTACAAACAAACAACACTGCAATCGTACGATTTCTTTTATAAGAAAAATATCCCTAAACGTTGGAGGATTCAAAAGTGCTTTCAATAAGCTTGATTAAATAAATAAAGTTGATACTATCTTAATTAGATTATCACAATCACCAAACAATTAAATCAAAATATAAGCAGGAAAATTACCTGCATGCTGGTCTACAGACGTTAGTTCTACACAGGGTGGTGGCATCCGTGCAGCTTCGACGGTCGCGATGTCGAATGCTTTCATCCAGCCTAAGTATTCTTGCTCGTTACTCGCGCTCATCAGCATGTGACAGTTTTCACCTAACAAGATTATATCATATATATGTATATACTTATAGAAGTCATCTCAATCATAGTCAATATTAAATATATATTTTGAGTGTACCAGAACGGAGGAGCGTAACTTTCAAAGAATCCTTAATTACTTATATTTACTGATACTAATTACTCAATCGAGTCAAGATTTTCAGTGCTTCAAAAGAGGGTTATCTACAGTTATTTAACTGATTTTATTTTAATAAGTTTAAGCCAAATAAAATATTTTGAAAATAAGCAAGTTTTAAAGTTTGAAAATTAAATTAAAACAATATGTTTTTTATACCCGGCAAACGCTGTCCACCATATTCTTGACATCATTCCGATATGTACACAAACAGACGCATAGAGTATATTATTTGATTAAAATGTCAATCTACCTAACGATCTAGCTACAAAAAATTAAAAAATATTAATAAAGCAAGAACAGCACCTCCTAGGAATTTGAATTATAATAAATAGGCATCTATTTACAACAAATCTGACATATTTTATCGTAGCAATCTCTTCAAGTCTCTTGATACACAGATAAAAAAATGACAACTTTTACTTTTTAACATAATCATGAGATTTTATGACACAAATCAGAATATCTATGTTTATTTCAAAGAGAATTTTAGTTATTGACAAATTTCGAGACTAATTTGCACTACCTTCTGCCAAGTAAATATACATGAACCACATCAGTAGTATCTTACTCTAACTATTTACTTTATAATGTTACCTTGTAGTTCGAACGAGTTCGGTAGATCTGCCGGTTTGACAGATACCGTCAGAAGCGCAAGCGCCGCGTGCGCACGGAACTGTCCGCCACCGCCGCCCGCGCGTGACGTCACCAATAACACGTCACTGAACTGTCGAATTCAATATAATCTATTCACACTACATTGTTACAAGCACTCGTCGATGTCAAAACTCATTGCCTTAGGTCATGAAATCTACAGCGGGAGACCTTGTACTGCTAAGTACAGCAAGAAATTCAGCTAGGGCTGTTTTATTTACCTGTTTTATGTCGTAGAGTGAAGCCAATTGTAAAATGATTTCGTTAGTATGACGTCACTTGCCATTTCAGATTGATATTGCCTAGCCAAATTTAAATACTTAAGCGTCTGTGTTCAATGTACTGTAATTTTTTTAATGTGAACTTATAATTTGTGGGTTCATTTAAAATTTTTGATTATCATTTCCAACTTATTGAGACTTGGTACGACTGCAAATGCCGCCGGGACCAATCGCTCCATACGTGCCTTCCGAAGTACGGAGGAGCTCGAGATAGTAATTTTTCGGTTACCCATCCGATGACCGACCTTTGTGAGTTTTTTTTATGATGGTGCGACAAAGTGACTGCAATACACCTGATCGGAAGTCATATTACAGTCTAATAATAGTCGTAGCTGTCAGCCGGCCTGCTAATGAGCCTCCTCACAACTCTTTCGAAGGACCGAAGGCTGTATGTAATTTTAAACACGTGGGATGGGAGACTGTTCCATGTTTTAATAGTACGGCAAATAGTATAATACAAACAAGTCTGGGGATGGCAACAAACACCTGCACGTGTTAACTTGTTACGGAAGAAGGGAGGTGGAGGGGGATGATGTTGATAATTCGCCATGATAGAGAGGAAAGAATCCTATTAATATTATAAATGTGAAAGTTTCTGTGTATGGATGTTTGTCCGTCAGTCACGCCGAAACTACTGAACGGAAATTTGGTATACAGATAGGGTATTAGCCGACTTAGATAATAGGATACTTTTTATCCCACCAAACGTTTCCCTAGGGAACACACGGGAGAAGCCGCTGACGAAAGCTAGTACACTATAAAAAATCACTACGCCATCGAGCCCCTTAGACTTTTGATTTCGTAACCTAATAATAACATTAATATCGAGTTTTTTATTAATTTCATATCTTAGGAAATAATTGGCATATTTTATGTATTCGTTTAGCGCGAGAACATGTCTTGACACGAAAATTATGCATATACTCTAATGTGGAGTAATAATAATAAAATAAAAATTGAGATATAACTGTGATAAAAATTCGAGCACACATACCAAAAACAACATCCTTTGCTGGAGCCCCTTCGTGGAATGTTTGTACACACAACCGAGTCTGATGAATTCCCTATTCGGCACTAACAATTTGTCGTATCCTGAAAATATAAATATATACCGCCTGCATTTAAAATGACTCTCCAAATTTTTTCTAGGCATTAGGTATCGTTAATAGATCACATATATGAAAAAAAAACAGTATGTAAAATTTTCAAAATGAAGTGTAAACTTTTTGTAATTACAAGATAATTATAACATTCGCATTGTCACATTAGTTATGAACGAAACGAGCAGGGGTAGCAAGGGGCGCGGGCGCAGGGGATGCGCCGCGCATGCGCCGCGCATGCACCGCCGACGATATCTGCTCGGTTTTTTATTTAGTCGGCAACATCAGTCACCCGCGCATAATCCCTTTGAACGCACGCGCTTCCGCCTTTGCTTCCGTGTTGCGCGCCACCCGCCGCAGCCCCACACTTCGCGCGTCGGAATGTATTCCAATCGCGAATATTACGAAATGGTGCGGTGTTACATTTTAAGCGGTGAAAGTTTAAATGCAGCTCGGAGACTATACGAAACAGAATCCATCCCAGCCCTGCAAAATCAGGGATTAATAAACCCCGCAGTACCTAGTCGCGAGACATTTTTGGCTGTGAACCAAAGGCTATTGGACTATGGTCAATTTACTACGCCTGCTCACGCTCGCGGAGGTGGAAGATCAAGACTTGCAGTTGAAATCGAAGATGAAATCTTGGATTTCTTCGAAAGGGACCCGCGAGCCAGTACACGAGATGCCGCACGCCGATTTAACGTAAGCCACTATGCCGTGTGGAAGCTGCTGAATGTGACAGGGCTACACCCTTACCACTTCCAAAAGGTCCAAGCTCTACACGATGGAGATAATGTGCCCCGTCGCACCTTTTGTGAATGGCTGATTGCACACCCTAATGCCAACATTTTGTGGACTGACGAAGCATTGTTTACTCGTGTGGGGCTTTATAACCATCATAACGAACACTGGTGGTCCTTCAGAAATCCGCATATGATTCGGGAAACCCACCATCAAGTGCGCTTTAGTGTCAATGTGTGGGCCGGTGTTATAGGCACGAAAATACTGGGGCCGTACTTCATCGAAGGGCCGCTCACCGGCGGCAACTTCCTCGATATGTTGCGGCATGTCATTGCCGATTTCATGGAGGACTTGCCCGTGGCCTACTTCCGGGATTTTTATTTTCAACTGGACGGTGCACCACCCCATTACGCCGCCGCCGTCCGAGATCATCTCACCATAGAATATGGTGATCGATGGATTGGACGCGGAGGCCCCATCGTGTGGCCTGCTCGATCGCCGGACCTAACACCGTGCGACTTTTATTTGTGGGGTGAAATCAAAAGACGTGTGTATTTTGAAGAAGCACAAAGCCTCGAGGACTTAAAAGTGCAAATTAGTGCGGCATTTGACCACGTGAAAAATGACACTGTAGTGCTCGCCAAATTAAAAGACAATGTGCAAAAACGTGCAAGACTCTGTGTGGAGAGGAACGGTATGCACTTTGAACAATTATTAAAGTATACGTAGGTAAATAGTTAAATTAGGTAGGATAAAGTGATTAGTTGATTATGTACATAAAGTTGATGATTTTTTAAATACGCCTGATTGCAAAGAATATCTAGTTAAGTACCTACTTTTTTTATTATTGGTTTAACTAAACAGAATTTTAGGTAACTTGATATTTGCTTACCTACTTATTTATAAATTTAAAGCAGTATAGTTATTGTAATAGTAGGTATCTAATAGAATTTTTGCAATTTGACGGTCCTAAGCCCGTAAAAGTATGAAGGAAAGGTTTCAACTTTATGTACCATTTGCCCTAGCATAAAAAAACGAAAACATTTTAGGTAGCTGCTACTAACTCGCAAACGTACTTGTATTACTATCAATGAATTGCGGGAAGGGAGGGGGGGGGGAACTAACGTAGCGCGTAAAGCGCACGTACTGGGCAGCGGGAGCGTCCACAAATGTATGTTTTTTGAAAATAACTTGGTGACGATATAACTCAACATTTTTGTTCTAAACGACATAAAAAGAAAAAACACGTATTTCATTATTTGTCGTAAAGATTAACATACTAAAATTTGGAGAGTGGTTTTAAATGCTTCTTGTATATATATAAACTATGACATTTAATTACATAAGAATATTAGTTGATTTCACACCATGGCAGATGTGTTTCAGGTCACGTTTTCAAACGTTTCGGCAGTACAGTTTTTTAATTTTGTCAAACTATTATGTATTCATAATTGTCAAAATACGTCATCTGGGATCGTCATCCATTGTGAATGCTACTGCCTTACTTGTTGTTTTGCCGTTTTCCGTGATTAAGTTGTTATTGTTTTATTTTTGTTTTGTTATAGTTTTGTTTTTGTTGTTAAGTTTTATTAAATATGGACGAAGCCGGTGCAGGCCCGAGTGGCCTACAACAATTACGCTCTAAGTCCGCATACCTGCCCTCAACCTTTGACTTTTCAAGTTTTTCCAATGTCTTCATCAATAGTGTAATGTCTGAATAAATGTTTTAAAAGAAATAATAAAAATAATCATTTTGTTTACCTTTCTTTACTGGGCATAGATATAACTAAATTCTATTCTAATTATTATATCAAATCAACAGATAGATAGTTTTAGTTCCATGTTGGCTTGGGAGTAAATGATGAATTAAGAAAATGCTGGCCTCATCTCAACCCCGAGGTATCGTAAAAAATAGAAAATTGCTCATCTCTTTCAGACTACCTAACTTTCAAAGTTTCAACAAAACTATAGTACATATTTATTAAATTTATCTTGAAAATAAAATGTTCTGCACTGCTGCTTCTATGACCCTCTTTTTTCTAATGTTATAATGAATGGAGTATAGTACCGGCGATGTCTCGCTGCATCTGGCAGAGCGCCGCGTGGTTGTGCGCGTGCGGCAGCTGCACGCGCGCCATGCACGCGCCGCGACTAGACACCACCATCGCGCGCTGCACGCTCTCCCCGCAGCTCACAGAACACAACTCTACGATACAATACGGATGATTACTTTTATTTTATTTTAGTAAGTAAAACTTACAGCTGTAATTACACAACAGAAATTAATTATACGTCTATAAGCCATTTACATTTTTTCACTTATAATAACAGAAAGAAAAAAGGGAAGAAAATGCTAATAGCAATGATATTACAATAGATAAATAATAATTGCAAATGACACCGAGCCACGCCGCGACAACAGCGCCACCAACGGAGAAACAAAGAAACCTTCCCCTCCCCGCGCGGTGCGGGGTAGCGTACCCCCACTCTAAGGAATCTAATAAGATTAACTGATTTATGTATGAGCTAAGTGCGATCAATCAAATTGTATATAAGAAATCGATTTTGCGCAATAAAGCATGTTCTGCTTTCGAACGTTCTCCGAGTTTCTCCGAACCAAGTGTTTTATTTGAAACCCCTGCTACCTGCCCGCCTTCATCTCCAGCTACAGTCTATCTGCTACAATAATTAAACAAACAAATTAAATTACAAATTCAAACACTGTGATCGGAGTAGGAGTTGGTCATCAATCACCTCACTACTGCAGGTTTTGTGTTATGTCAATTTAGGGATGCTTGATAGCTGTCATTTAATAATATGCCAGCTCTACAGAAAAAGGAATTTCGTCGATAATTCGTATAACATGTCGGTATTAGAAAAGGCCGATAACTCGAAGCTGTTTCTTAGGAACTTTGTCATTATTTAAAATTTTACACAAGTAAACCATAATCGCGATGTTTCTTCATAGTTGTGACACATTTATACTGTAGATATCTAAGAAACTTTTTTTTTGATCCGTTCAATTCTATCTATATAAATTACTGGATGAATAATGAAAAAGAAAAAGAAATTCTATTCTCAATGAGAAATGGGACCCATCTATTGATGAATTTTATTCAGTATAGCACTGTGAATGCAAAATTGATAAAATATAATGAAAAGAAATTCTATTCAGTCCGTCAGACAGATAAGAGTAAAATATTAGATAAGAAGGTATTTTTTTAACAAGAATGGTTTATTATCTATGATAGGCATTCGAGTTGAGGAGTTTCTACGTCACAACTACGTGGAAAATGTACAAAAGTGTGACGTCATGCGACATTTTAACTCCATGTATCGCCGTAAATTATTGATTACGCAAAAAAATATAAAATACGTGTTTATTTATTCTTCAGTAACCTATCTGACGTACAAACAAACACTAGTTAGTCATCGTCCCTATTTTAGTAACTGACACGATGCTAATGTCTCGGATGCTATGCGTTGTTTTGCAGGAATGTTAAGTGATGGAAATAATTAAAATTTATAACTTTTATAATTGACTTTGTTCATTCACTCTAACATGAATTCGCCGATTGAATACTTAAAAGGTACTAGAAATTAATGTACCTATATGGCGCTACACAATTATTACATTAAAGTGATAAATAAATGAGAAAAGAAAGCGCTGTTGCCACGGCACTATCTGCTCTTTCAGACAATTTTTTATGGTTAAATATTTAAAATTTAAGTTATTTTATAAGCGAGAAAAGAAAATCAAATCAAACGACATATTGATTTACATCTACCGGTATTAATTAAAATGAATGCCCTTCAAAATTCATACACAATAGTTCACGAGTGATTTAAATCTGTAGCTGCACTTAAAATTCGAATTTTATTACTTATGGACAGAAATAATAAGAGTATCGATATCTATTTAAAAAAAAAAACTAAATTCACCTGTAGCTATAGCTTCATAATGCAAGAGGCGATGCAGCGGCCTCAGTAGCAGACATGCGAGCGGCAGCGGCGAATGCGCCTCGAACGACGAACATTCGGCTCGCGCCGCGTCGTTACAGCGACGAACGCTCTCCACCACGCCCACTATGGTACCAGCGTGCTCGGTATAATGAGCGTACGCCTAAAAATAACTCACTCGTGTGAAATTCATTATGGGTACTGTATCATAATACATATACCGGGTGTTACAAAAATACCCGTTATAGCTGAAGGGTGTTGAAGTATATCATATAAACAGTACTCTGCCAAATTTTCAAAACCTTTGCATTAACTTTTAACTTTCAGTAAAAAGGCTAATTTTTAATAATTAATAAATACATCGAGTGTGCTATGTCACATCGTGTTTGGTAATACCTGTATAATCCCGAATATGGCACATACGGTATGATGAATAGAACCCAGAAAAATGATCACTAAGACTGAAACCCAGCACATGACCTAGATATTCAGCTTTTTTTCTTCGAAGTAAAACTGTACGCTGACAACCCTAAAAACAGCTGTTGTGTTGTATTTGGTCATCGACTCCATGTGCCGAACTAGTTTAAAAAATAACAGAAGTTAAATAAATCTAAAGATAAATGCCTAGAATAAATATGCATCTGAGAGGAATTTATTATTTCCAAACAAAGAAAAAGTTAGTAGTAAATGACTTTTAACTATAAAAAAACACTAATCTTGTGATTAACGGTGTTTCAAAAACTATTAATATGAAAACTTCTGTAATAATACAGTCAAAATAAAAAAGAAATTATAAATACTTTGATTGAAGTTCAATATCTGCACCATTGCTCACATTAGTCTATGCAAGAAGGAGCGAGAGAGATATAAAATCGACGACGATGTGTATTGAGAAACTCGGGTTTCTGATGTGTCAGTAAGGTTCTGTAGATTATTTGCTTTGAAGTTTTGTTATTTTTTTCATAAAGCCGTGTTATTTTCACGAAACAATAAAATACGGACTTATACAATGATATTAATAATCTAAGTATCTCTCTTATTCTTAGTTTAAATGATAATTAAATAAAGGTTAGTTGTAATGGAAAGGTCTAATAATAAATAATATTTCTTGACGCGGAACCCCAAAATCGGTACACTTTTGATTTAGGTACATTGGTGTTCGAGTTGCAATAATAATAACCTATGTAGTTTTGGTCATCGCGTCAGTCGCGTCCGTGACTTTCATCGGCGTACTTGTGAGTTTTCAGAATTTAGAAGGTCAACTTACGTTTTCGTTCTTTCGGGACTTTTGGTTTGTTTTTCATTCTCGTTCTGTTTACCTGTGTATTATGTTTGTGTGCGGTCAGTGCAATGAATTCGTACTCAAATGCCTAATATTACGAGATGATAATGTGTGGCGGTGCTTGTGACGGTAATCTTGCTGCGGCTCGGCGGCGTTATGACGAGCGCCACGTGTCAGGAAGACCTGAAAACCATCGACGTCTTCCTTCTTACCGGTGATTCGCGGCATTTGTGAATTGGTTACATACAACTGGTTCATTCCATAGTGTGCCACAGGTAGGCCGGCCGATCACCTATTCCATCGAGACAGAGGATATGACTTTACGTCGAGAGTAACACGACACGGTCTGTGTCGAGTCGAATGGAGATGTGTGTTTTATGCGGTGGCCGGCATATCGAGACCCTGGACTGATAAAGTGGAGGTGAAGTGTAGGTAATGTTGACAAGTGAAAGCTGAAAGAGTGATTAGAACGCTATAGGTATGTACCTATTTAATCTTAAATTGTTTTAATTACAAGTAAACTCATACGTAGTCGAGTGCGCGCGTCGGCAACATCAAAATGTATTCAAGGAAACGAGAGAGTGAGAGGTAATGAGAGAGAGAGAGAGAGAAAGAGCGAGTGCGCCGGGACGGCACGTGTAAGCTTACAGGGTTGTAGCATAGTAATTGAAAACAAATTGTTCAAATATTTGTATGAAAATATCAATTTACATGAAATTGTTTTTTGACCTATCAATTGTGTTCTTTGTGCTAGGTTGTATGGCCATGTTTCGGGATTATACAGGTATTACCAAACACGCTGTATATACTTCGAAACTACACAAACGGAACGACTGTTCTTCCAAATGAGACACCTTAATAAATTTATGAATTTTATCAATATTTGTACGATCGATTAAAAAATATATCGATATATATTTACGAGAATGTAAAAATTATCGAAAATTATATACCTGTAAAAATACTTACATCAGATGTGCTCGATAAATATTCGTATAAATGCTCAGCAATTTTCCTGTACTCAGGTTCTTCATTATCTGAAAGGGAAACTCAAATTTACATTTCGATAACAAACAAAGATTTTTTTAGAAAATAGTAAGACATAAGGTGCGTTTTCCTAATAATACTGCGAATGATTTTATAGTGTCCGTTATGGTCGCCAGTATCACCATTGTCTCGAAGAATGGATATCAACAGTAGTACGTTAAGGAGAATTTATCTATCAATATAATCTCATTATTTTCTCAACAAGTATTTACTTTTCCAATGAATAAGGTAAACAGACTCCGCTTGACAAAAGTTAGCATTGAACAATAGGAACACTTTTTTTATTGATATTCGGGTAAAGAAACAATGACACAACAACATAAGTGTATACTATACAAAACATGAATACATACTAGTTGTGCCACCAGCACCGTTTACCACTAATTACTTTAATATTTTTTATAATTATAACAACAATTAAAGTTGGGCTGATTAAAATAGAATCTTTCATTGTTGAATAATCATAACTCACTGTCTGCATGATCGCCAGGATCCAGTGGTAAACGAGTGGCATTAGCTAGCACGCGCTCAAGCCGCGCTAGTGCCGCTCCGCACGCTAGCGCTAGTGGCTCTAGCGCTAGACACGCACGCGCTAGCGCTGCAGCCGCTTCGGCCACTCCCGCGCCGCCGCTAGCGGCCATTTCTGACACCCGCCGCGACCAAGTCTATTAGTAAACCAATACAGTCACACTTTCACATCTCTGGCAATAACTTCAAGAAATTAAGACTCGAAGTCTATATCTAATCATGAACGACCCACACTATTCAAACTCCTATAATATTGTGTTTTTTTACTTTATTTATTATGTTTAAGCTAAAAAAAACTAGACTATTCGATGTTAGTTATCTCTGCAAAATAACTAAAGACAAAATATTATACTCATGTAACTATTGTATTACATAATAATACAATGAACACATAATATAATCTACTCGAATTCCACAGTAAATATTGCCATATCATATGTATATTTGAATTCACAAATAACTTGTCACAGTATCAATATTTTCTCACCACGGTGACAAGCTCCAGGTCCCTCTTATAAGTTCGTTCGGTCATAAGCAGCTCCTTGGCTATGAAGTAAGAGAGGTCGGCGCCGCGGCGTTTCGGCGCTTCTATAGTGCCGTCGCGAACACTGTTCGTTAAGTTCGACGATATGCTGTACATAAAAATACACCCAACACTTAGATTCAACAGTATTGGCACCAGTTTCTAACTTATGATGTAGAATTAAGTCTAATATTGTGCTTCAGAATTTGGAACAATTTATAATCTCAAGGTTTGGTACCCATTAAGAAAAAACTTTAAAGAAACAGATATTATTATTGTTTTCAATGCATATACGGAAAGTAATTAGTAAAAATATTAATTTATCAAATAATTGACATACAGTATATGGCTCACTCATGTACTTGTGCAGAAAGTTAATTTGGAAGCGCCTCCAATGTTGACCAATCATAATGATCCAAGTATCACGCCATCGGGCGATCCACCACTATTAAAAACGCCTGACCTTATGTTTATTGAAACAAGACTCATTTTAAATTTAAATTGTACCGTTGGTCATCGTCAGAAATAGTATGCTCTGTGCAAACGAAAAGTCACTATGCCTCATATCAGTTACAACTATTGTTACGACATACCTGTTGTTATTGTTGTTTCGCCTACTCAAAGTATCGCCCGCGTCGCTCTCTCCGCCGCTAAGCACGTCCATACTGTACGTTGACTCCGACACAATGTTCACTAAAAAGTATTTTTCTTCAATAATAATAATTACATAATACTACAAAAATAAATCACATCGACAATATTTATTTACATACTAAATATTATGACGATCGTAAGGTTTCAAGCAAGTCAAGCATATATATATATAATAGATATAACATCTTTAAACCATAAATTCTGCTTATGAAAGGATCGTTGTGAACTTTCGTTACTTAAAAAAAAATGCTTTTTATGACATATGTCAGCTAAAACAGCACTCTAATCTATATTAGAGAGCTTACAACTCAAAATTTACTATTTTAATCTATTAAATCATCACCAGCATATTAATGTCCCCACCGCTGGGGCTCAAGCCTTCCCTATGGATGGAATCGAATCAAATCGTATAAGAACATTGGGCCATAACCCACCACGTAAGCAGGATGCAAATTGGTGGGTATTCAAGTCTGCAGATACAGCTGAGGCCAACAACAACATAACACGAAGGAAATCGAGATAGTAAATTTTTGGTCACCCATCCCATAACCGGCCATTGCTAAAGTTGCTTAACAACCGTATCTCATACCGAGCGCACTAGCCACTGCGCCATCGAGCTCCTAAAATGGAGTGAAAGGGACATCTCACCCGTAACGTTGCCATTGACGACGTCAGCGCGCGTCTTGCCGTTTACAACACCGAGACGCTTTCCTTCGGCAACGTCACCGGGCGTCTTTCCTTCAGTGACGTCGCCGCGCGTTTTGCATTCACTGACGTCACCGCTCGTGTGTCCATCGATGACGTCAGCGTGCGCGTTGCCGTTGCCGACGCCGTGGCCGTTAGTGACCCGCGGCGCACACGGCGTCGACGTACACAATGGTTCGACATACGTCCTCTCACTCGACGGCGACATACACAAACTCGCCGACGAGACAGTATTTTCAGTTTCCTCTGGCGATGCTTCATCTGTTGAAACACAATTATAATTATTTTTGATAAATATTGCATTGCAATACTCAGGGGAATAGATTGTAGACCGATTAAATATAGAACATGATTTTTTCTACCGTATCAGATTTCGTGAAATGTATGTGATGTCACATAAAATCTATTCCTGATATTTATGATATGTTTTGTAATATAGTAACTATAGATATTAAGTAATATATGGGATTATTGATTTAAAAACTGTTAGAACACCAATCTTGGAGCAAATGATTTGACTAATTAATCTTTGTAATTGACTAAAACTAACATGCATATAACATACCTCATCACCTCAATAAGCAATTTTAAAATATAAATATATTTTGGAAATCAACATTTTTAGATCTAGAACTATCGATGTACTATTTTTCAGATGTTATTTTAACACGTTCACTAAATACATAATTCGAAAGGTTTGCTTATTGAAATGTTGATAATTAAAATAATATATAAAATCAGAATTAATAAAAAGCGTTTTAAAAAATTGGAAGGGTAAGGAATCTGAAAAGAAATTATTACATTAAAATCATAAAGAAAATGAGGATTCCACATAGCAACTAATAATACCTGAAATAAAAAAAAATAATGACAAATACATTTGTAACGTATCTCAAAACTTACACGAATATCCTGGCTGCATATAATTGTAGGGTCAAATAAAAATAAATAAACAAAATCTATTGAAACATCATACGATTCGTTTAAATTATTTATTTAACTAACCCCAACCACTTGGGTAGTGTAGTGTTGCAGGGATAACCGCACACTTACATTCACATATAAATTCAAAAAGGAAGTAACATTATTAATAAAACTCGAAACAATATCCGAATACGTGTTATTAATATAAAATTAAAACAACGATACGAATGAAATCTTAACGTTTTACAGTCTATTCGGATTGTACAATCTCCATCGAAAAAATCGAAGTACTTATAGACTAACTTTAAATCGATCGATTATTGCGCTAACTAGGGAAGTCGGAGACTTCTTAATAGCTACTAGTCTAAAATTGCTTCGTGCACACACGACCACATAAGTTACATATTTTCGTTTAATTGAACACTATGCAGCCAGTGGGTAATCGAAACCACTTATATGCATCAAAATTTTGGCAACGCCCTTCAGGAGCTTAACAAATAAACTTAGTTTGATAACTCAATAGGCTATTTGACTCTAGTAGAAGAAAATAAATAATTTAAACTAAGCAATCTTGCCGTTTAATTAACTGCAATCTTCATATTTTGGTTTTAATTATTTTCGTTGCTATACTAAATATGTACTTATTCATTGCGCCATAAGTAAAGTAGCCAATTATAACAACATTAATCATTAATATTAGTGTTTTTTTTTTGAATATTGATATCTATGGTTAATATTTCTTTTATAGCTTAAACGTATTAAGGTTTAAATTTTCAAAACAAAACGTACAATTGACATTTTTTCAAATAAATATATAGTTGTGTTGGTTTCAATGTTATGAATTATATTTGCACATTCATACTATCTATTAAACTAGATAATTATTTGAACAATTGGAAAACAAAATATAAAGAATACGGGAAGACAAGGATGGAAGTTTACACTTATTATCGTTTATTATAATACAACGATAAATTATAACGTAATTTAAACCTACATTAAACAATTAAACTTTTAGCTCAACTATTTTCAAACAAAACCACCAACAAATAAAATCTTTTGTCTATAACTCAACACATACCCTGTCAATATAAAACTAGGGTAACTTATATTTGGCAATTGACAAAACCAATAATAATAATAAACCTAATCAGGTTATAGAATCCTATACGTCCACAATTTTGTGTACTTCATTTACTATAATGTCGTCTGTAACGTCATCTATACACATTAATCTAATTATCCCATAAGTATAACATTGCGTTGCAGAAACAACATTGTTGACTTGATACCATTGTTTATAAAATACATATACAGATAAAGATATTATTGTGCTGTACTTAAGAAACTGGGAAACTACACATTTGCCACTTTTAAACGCATGACCGCAACTCTGACGCATATTACTGCTATTAACTATAGGTATAGTTATTTTATTCTTAAAGTGCTGACAGACTACAGAATTCACTTGTAACCGAAAACTAAATATCGAAATTAACAACGAACTTTTTAGTCAATGTTCGGGGAAAATGTATTCTTTATGAAGGTGGGAAGGGGCAAATTTTTATTTTTATTAATATGTCAGTTTTGACATTATTGCAACATTCACCAGTATGATGATCACAAGTGAAGCGGAAATCTATCAACACCTTATGAAAATAAATACTCGATTTGACTGAAAAAATACTGCCGCCACTGTCTCAAATATTGAATAACCTATCTATGCTCTATTGCAACTTAAATAAGAATCGTATTTGTAAAGTAACAACGATGTTTCAAAGTGCAAAATAAAATATATACATATGTCATTATTGCTGATTGAAATTATATAAATTTATAGTTAATAGCTTGTCTAGGGAGAGAAAATATTTTAGATATAATATTTCTATCTACCCATAATCATGAAGTATTTAAATGTTAGTAATATTCATTAATTATTTCGTATTTTCATTTTAACTGGCAGTAATTGTTTGCGTTGATGTTATGTCGTTGCTATTAGATTACAATCATTACAACAGACAGATAATCTAATCAGTGTAAAACAAAATCGCTTTCCGCTATACAGATAGCGGGAAGCGATTTTGTTTCGTACTAGCGTACAGAAGCAGATTTTTTAAAATACACAACGGAATTTAATGCGGTTTCTATTAATTTACAGTGAATCAATTTATATGTATAATACAGGAGCACGAGGGCAAAGACGCTGGCAAAAATCTATGGTAAAAATATTATGATTAATTTCAAAAGTATCTACAAACTAAAACTATCTTAAAGGGTTCAACACAGGTAAACAGATAAGCCTAACTAACTAACTAACTGTGTCTGCATTGCGTTTAGATATTAATTTTGACGAAGACCAATCAAGTGGTTCTTTCAGTTGTGACTACGTCGAACTTTATATTAACGTATTGAGAGCATTATTAAGACGACGATGTATCAATCAATCGACGATAACAAATCTGCCCCATAGACCAAGTGGTGTTGTGTCCATTTTTATTAAACGTCTAAAGGAATAAAATATATCGTATCTTTTTAAACTCTTATGATCAATAGTGTTGGGTTAATGAGAGCTCATATATATGTTAGACATTTTAAGATTTTCCAGATTTACTTGGTAGAAAATATTTATGTCCTGATATATTACTATAACATTACTGTTACATTTATTCAAATATCAGTAACAAAAAATAACCAGACGCAAAAATATTGAGCAGATTCAACACGACCGTTGACACAATTAATAGTGTAAATTATTCTTACACGTTTAAACCAATTCCGACAAAATTGTTTTATGTTTATGTGGATTTTGTCAATAAATGAAACGTCATATTGTATTTAATACAAACAATTATAATAGTTTTGATCTTGGATCTCACCCAATAAAGTAAATCACAGCCTCGACATAATACTAAGAAATATATAAACAATAAACAAAGTTTACTAATAACGATAATTCACTCATTTGACTAGGATTTTGGCACGAAACATTCTATAAATATTGTACGCTTTAAGGGTTAAGCGAAAAGGTTTCAAATCGCATAATTCATCACCTTAATAGATAATTGTCTGGAACCGTCCAGTATAATTTTGGTAAATAATTTAGATATTATTGTTCCGTAAAAGTAACTACACCTAAATACTTAACAAGCTAAAAGTAGTGTAAGGTCGTATTATACACGAGTAGTCAAAAGGTCACGCTATTTGGATTGGCACTAGATTTCTCTAAATATTAATAAAGACAAATATTCAATTTTATAGTATACTACTAATATCATTCTTAATTCATTGCATAAGTTAGAATGGAAATTGTGAAAACGGTTTGTAAATTTTTCTAACACAAAAGTCACAACAAAATATCTTACAAGAATGTGAACGCTCATTCCAGAAATTAGCCGTGTAATTTTTTTAAGAAATACAATAATCATAAGCTTTTTAGTAATTGATTTAAAATTGAATTATTCGTGTTCGTCATCAGAACAAAGAGGCGGAGGAAGAGTAGAAACATCGAATTTTTGCTCAGGACTATCGCTGGAAGCTTGCGAGTCCACGTAGTGACTAGAATAGAATCTTTCAACGTTATTTAAACTGAAGCGTTGGTCCAAATCTCTAGTATAATGTTCGCCCAGCCCATCCCTTCGTTCTTCCAAGTCTTCTTGATCATATTGTGGGTAACATCCTTGTGTTTGAAACATATCCATTTCCTCATAATGCTCTGGATACGGGCTACCTCGGTATTCCCCATACTCGTCTTTGTCTTGCGGCAATTCTGTGTCGGAATAAGCGACCGATTCCCCGCGTTCAAATAAGTAATTACTGCCGGGTTTTGACATTTTCGGTGCCCTTTTAATTGTATCTACGGGATATGCGTAATCATCAGAATCATCTCTATCGCTTTGTTCGTCGTAATAAGCACGAGGCTGATGTTGACCTGAGGATTCACCCGCATCTCCGGATTGACGATATCCAGCAGACTTATTCTTTTTCAAAGATGACTGACGACTACTTTTGTTCGAGTAGGAAGTTCTAGGGGGACTATCCTCGGGAACGTATGGCGGTTCTTGAGTATCAAGATAAGGGTGACGCAATCTCCCTAACCTATCGAAACGTGGAAAGCCCATTTCATCTTCATCTGCTGAAGAGCCAAATCCTTGGAATTGCACTGGTGTTATACTAATCGGAAATTGTTGAGCTTCATAATGAGCGCTTTTAAATTTAGCATAATCACTTTGACCTTCTTCATCTTCAGAATAGCTGATTTCTTGTACATCATAGTTTTTAGAATCGCCCTTAGAAACTTCTGATGATCCAGATTCCACTTCTGGCAGATAACTGTCGGA